CCTAAACCCCATTCTCGTCCCCAGCGCCACTCGGCTTAATTTGTAACCGACCAGTGGCTCTGGACGCAACGGAAAATACGAACTTTTCATTGGCTGAAGCCAATTGAATGCGCAAAGCAAATTAAAAATATAATCTACTGCGCATAACATTTTACTTAGTGCCCTCTCGACCAGCAAACATAAAATTTCGTTGATTGCGACAATCCTGTTTTGTTTATATGCGATAGCAGTGAAGGAGAGAATTGCAGGTAAAGTTTGAGAAGTTTCTACGAAGATAACGAGCCTTGACAAAGAAAGTATTGCCTTCGTTGTGCGCTAAACTTTGCCCCTGTTTCGACCGTCGCATCTCCTGGGAGACTGAAAGGAGGAGTAATGTATCGGTCAAATCGAAGCTTCAACATGCCCCCCCCCCGGGCATACCCCGGGCATTTGACACCTTTGCCGTCCCGGGGAGGAGGGAATTTGATTATCAGAGTCTTCCAGGGGGTGGGGAATTTGATCCCCATGCTTTAGGGGTGGGGAATTTGAACTGCACCCTCGATTTCATGTAAAATCTTTGGCGTGGCGAGCTATCATGGGGGACGCGGTGTTAGAGGATTTTCGTGGAAAAGATTGTGCCTTTGTGGCCAATTGGTTACAAGGAAAGGGCTTAAACAAGCTTTGTGCCGTTTTTGAAGTATTTAAATTTTAAAATTTTTAATGCTGGATTCAGGCTTGGAATGTATGAATGTATGTTATTGTTGTGTTCACAATGAAATACAATACCTATACAGGCGATTCAATACAACAACATAAAATAAAATAAAATAAAATAAAAAGCTCAGGTCAACTACTTTGACCTGCTGCAAGTATGTTAATTTATACGGTGAGCGATGATGCATGTCAGTGAAATGGTCATGATGTAGTAATCTCAATAGGTGGGATCTTTTTTTATAGAACCCTTTGTATGTTGCATGATGAAGAAACGCTGAGCATTCAGTGACCTTGTAGCAGCGATTTCTGCCGCTTTGCACGAGTTTTTTGTTCGTAGTAAATACGCTAACAGTGTTTTTGTTATATTTATAAAGATTTTGTTCGACAACTGAAGGCGTTTCCGCAGTCCTTCTGTCATTTTTGTGCCTGTGAAATGTCCCCGGGGTGGGGGCATTTGATCACCTGAATGGACCCTAGTGTGGGGCATTTGAACGGCATTGTGGGCCCGGGTAGGGGGGAATTTGAACAATAATTTTCAAAAAAGTCAAATGCCCGGGGGGTTGCCCGGGGGGGGGGCATGTTGAAGCTTCGATTTGACCGATACATAATGGTTAGCTAAATTAGCTCTTGCTGTTGCTCCATTACAGAAATGATATATACGTTAAGTTTCTTGCAGTGTGCTTTTAATTTATTGTATTTTCTGCTGAAAGAACATCTCCTTTGCTATACTAAGGTCAAAATAATATTTTGTTATATGCCTTTATTTCATTAGACCACTGACGGCAGTGCACAAAGCCAGAACTGAATTGCTTATGAATCATTTTGGGCAGCATGCAAAAGGCAATTTTTTAATTGTGTAAAGATGATAGAGCAAGTACTCTTTCCAATCTACGTTTTCTTCCACTTAATTAATGCTTAAATCACGCTTAGATAATTCGGAGGCTTTCTTTTAATTTTTATTTTAACAGTAAGAATTGGACTGTGAAAGGAATGGCTATGTGGTCGACATGTTACAAAATGTTAATGTTTTGCGAGAAGATATTCTCATCCTAGTAACAGTCCTTGCTTGGTTTCCAGTCGTGTGGCATTTAGACAAAGATAAACAAGGGGCTCTGGGGTTATTTATAACTGATGAACAGTTAACAAAGAAGCAGCTTTTGCACAATTTTTCTTGATAAATATTTATGTTATCTGATCACTACATACGGTAGCACAATGTTCTCAACCTTTTTGGTTTAAGAATTCTAAAATACAAGAAAACTTGACTGTTTATACTAGGTATACATTATGTGAAAACTGGTCTAGATTTTTTGATGATGTCGGGGACAACTGAGGTGTTAATAAATAAAATGATAAATGAACAACAGCCTAGGGTAGTCTATTTTGCACCAAAACTCGGGTAAGTGGTTGTTGATGATAACAACTGGATTTTGCAGTATGTCACCTTTGATAGGGTGGATAACATTATAGCTTGATCAACAGTAATATCATAGTTTACTTGCCAATCCTAACCACACCTGCTCTTCACCCCTCCTTGAGCTTGCACACAGCATTGGCTTACTGAGGCATAGGGCATCTTAGTTTACTTGGTTATTGACAAATAATGATGAGCCAAATTGAATCTTGCTTCCACTGGTCAATGATTCAGTTCTGGTTAAACCTTTTTCCTAGATGGAGGCCTCATGTTATAACACAAAATAATGAATTTTAAGGGAACTAAAAAATTATACTTTATCAACACCTGTGAGCAGATATTGTACTTTAACTCTATAAAGCACCACATTCAGGTTCAATACAACTGCAGAGGGTCGGGACTGGGGGTTGGACACTATCCCCCAAAAATCAGTTCAGATTCAACCCACAGCTATGCTTCTTGCCTTGCCAAATTTTGGCCAAACTAGGTGATTTTCACTATCTTATTTCAGGCCTGATCCAAAGTTCTATCCCCAATTTCAAACCTTGCAGGTCTTGCACTCCAGCTCAAAACATGATGAGAGCAGCTACCCAAGAAAATACTTTTGGGTTGTGTGTTACTCAAAGTGTTCTTCTTAACAGGGGGATCTCTTAAAGAATACAGTCTATATACAGTGCATATATCACTCTACATTTCGCTGTTCCAGATAAGAAAGTACAGCTATACAGCTTATGATAACCCGTCCTAGGTATTCAGATAGTGAGAAGTAGAGCATTGAAAAAAGCGGGGTTTTTTTAGTTTTGTTCTCTTTGCTCCTTCCCCAATACCTTAATGTCTGGCACAGGCATAAACTACTGCTTTTAAGCCTTCCCCCCAACTTATAAGCCCCCCAGTTATAGGCCCTGATTTACCAGTGAACAAGAAAAAATGTCCCCCTGGTTGTAAGCCCTCCCCTAAGGAAAAAAAAAAAACCTTCAAACCCGTTACAAAGATGTGTAACCCATGAGCTCATAAGTGATACTTAAACAGGTTTCTCTCTAGTTGCATTTGCATAATTACCATCACTTCCTACTAAACTAGTGTCCTGGCCCGGGTTGTTCAAACGTTGGATAGCGCTATCCACCGGATAAATCGCTATCCAGCGGATAGCGTAATTGGCTTGCGTAATACTTATCCGCTGGATAGTGATTTATCCGGTGGATAGCGCTATCCAACGTTTGAACAACCGGGGCCTGGGAAACACTTTTTATTAGTAACCGGTAATCAAAAGTACATGTAAGTGTTTATACCCCTATAACAGAGGTGACAAGAGCTCACCTATACTGTGAAAGTTACAAAACCATGAACACCAAACATTATTTAGGAATGCTATTGCGTTGCAAAGAAAAAGCTAATAAGGGGTGAGAAAACAAAACCTCACACAGCAGTGGTAGTTACTTTGTGGTTTTGAGGTTTGGTTGTGCATGTGTACTGAACATTATGGTGATTGGTCACTACACAATCAACATTTTTCAGGTATTAATGATTTTCTGAATCTGACAGCAAAATTATTGATGATTTTTAGTTAGGAGATGATACCTAAAATCTTTAGAGAGGATAAACCCTTTTAGCAGAACACTGAATGGCCCCCATAAACACCAAATGACCCAGAAGTTTTAAGATTAGGGTTAGAAAACTGGGGTTGAAGTTCTGGCCCCAGTTGTTCAAACGTTGGATAGTATGGTTCGCCATCCGTTTCAAAATTATGACATCGTGTACGTGGGCTTTTTTGCCGCGTATAACCGTTTATAATCGCTATGTATGGGCTTTTATCCCATATACAACCATTTATATCGCGTATATACGCGTATTTAATACGCGTATATGTGCAAAATCAAATGCACGTCTATACGCGTTGCTAAAAACCCGTATATATGCGTACCTGTCAACGCCCACGTATACGCGGGCAAAAATGTGCATATACGCGGAGTTCGGAAATCAGACTTGGTATAACATGGCACGAAAAGTGCCTCTAACGGAATAGGTTTCATGTATCGTGGCAATGAAAAGTGCCTTTCGCATTGCAAACATGGCTTCCTTTCTAGCTCTTGTAGTGATATGTATCTTGTCAACTAGTTCTTACATTTCTCCCACAACGGATCTTCTGGAGACGGTTTCTCGTCTATTAAGGGATTGCTCCAGGTTTTATCCACACGCCGATCGAAACATGGCTGAAAACTTGGTAGTCCGCCTTCAGGTAGCTGTCGATTCAATTCGTCGTTTGGTAGAGTCGTTGGACCCAGACGATCAAGGAAATGATGTCAGAATACCAGAGCTTGAATCACTGTTGAGGCAACTTCAATACTTATTAAACAGATGGGAGATGCTGGCAATAAGAGCAAGTTCTTGCACGACAGTTCGCCCCATAAGGACTTTGCCAGGTTTGTCAGGTCCTATAAATCAAAGAGCGGGTCGTTCGGCCTACGAAATTTCTACACGTCAGTTGGAGTTTCTAAGAAACAGAATGAGATTTAATCGGTCCCAGATATCAAGAATGTTATTAGTTTCTAGAACTACTCTTTGGCGAAGAATTAGAAACCTGGAGTCATTTTCCAGTCGACATCATTATACAGCCATCACAGATTCAGATTTAGATGATTTAATTCGAGGTTTAAGACAAGGATTTCCAAATTCTGGTATCAGTATGATGCTGGGACATTTGCGAAGTAGAAATATTTTTGTGCAGCGTCAGCGTGTTAGGGAAAGTTTGGTTCGAACTGACCCTGCAGGGAGTGCAATGAGGTGGTTTAACACTATCACAAGGCGCGTTTACAGTGTCCGAGGACCTAATTCTCTCTGGCACATTGATGGACTGCATTGTCTCATCCGTTGGAGGTTCGTCATACATGGAGGTATGGATGGGTTTTCCAGACTTATAGTGTATTTAAGTTGTGCTACAAATAACTATGCCTCGACTGTGCTTGCCCTCTTCTTAGCAGCTGTGCAGAGATATGGATGGCCCTCTAGAGTACGTTCAGACAAAGGGGGTGAAAATCTAGACGTAGCAAGAGCTATGCTAAGGCACAGAGGGTTGAACAGGGGAAGCATGATTGCTGGACTCTCTGTACACAATCAAAGGATTGAGCGACTGTGGAGAGATGTCTTTATAGGAGTTGCTCACTTCTTCTACACTCTGTTTTACCAAATGGAAGAAAATGGTATCCTGGAATCAACAAGTGTCATAGATCTGTTCTGTTTACATTACATATTTCTTCCAAGAATAAACCACCAGTTAAATCTCCTAGTTAAAGCATGGAATAATCATCCTGTACGCACAGAAGGTCATTGGACTCCTTGCCAAATCTGGGTAAATGGTGTTATTTCACAAGATAATTCTGAGAATACTGCAGTCAGGGACATATTTGATGACAGCAGCCAGCCAGATGAGTTATATGGTAAAGATCCAACAGGACCTGCATCAAATGAGTTTGACCTGGGTAGTGTTGATGTACCAGATACAAACATTCCATTAACTGACACAGAACTTGGAGCCATTTCTCATATTCAACCTCTGTCAGTGAGTGATAACTACGAGGTGGATCTCTACTTGGAAACTCGGCAACTTATTTTGGCACTTATGCAAGCACACCAGACTTAAGGTACATCATGTCATGTTAAAATCAAAACCAAAATAACAAATGGAAACATGTATGCTGTACATGTAGTGAATAGGCCTCTCACAAAGAATTATAAACAATTATTGGATGAGGTTTTTGTGATGACCAGAATAAGCAAAGGCAAGGAAAATGTAATTGGCTTCAGCTGATAACACCTAAGACCTCGATTATTTCAGATATCACAAAAACCGAATGTAATATTGTTTCAGAGAAAACAATTCACTGTCTCACAGAACACAGTTTATTTATGAATCATCTGTGGGTTGCACTGATTCGGACCAGAATTAATTTTAGTGTCTTAGCCAATGAGAAGACAGATATTCCATATTGACAATATATAGTAAAAGAAATTCGTGAGCTTGTGCATTTTATATGGATATGTGCAGTGGAAAGCATCACTGATCTTCCCTTGTTTACATTCATCATTAACAGGTACTACATTAATTGTGGTTGATTAGGTTGATTTTTTGGATCAAAATTATATGTATCACTTGTTAAAGTTACAGTTTACACACATGTACTGTTCTTTACTGTTTTACAGTTTTATTCTGCCAATGGTAGCCAAGAATCAGTTGTCTACTAATCAAAAGTTGATATTTTTTGGTTTTGTTGGGTTTAAAAAAGCAAGATACAAGTGCATAATTAATACATGTACTGAGATGTACAGTATTTGCAATGAATCAACAACTATTACATGTACCTATAAGGCACACCTTTTTGTTTGGGAAGGGAACCTTGGCTGTTGAGGTAAGTTTATGCTGGGTTGCTCGAAATACCGGTAACTCAAGGCCAAGTTTCCTTTTTAGCCGAGGTTCCCCCTAAAGTTTTAAAATAGACAAGTAAACAGAAAACCTATAACACAACTTTATTATTTCTTGTTGCATTGTATTCATTTGAGTTTGTGGAATTCCATGTACAAGATACAGCATGTGGGTGCTGTTTGAAATGTATAACAAAATACAACTTTAAAACTATACCAAAGCATGGATTTACTAAACATTTGAAATGTCCAAAGCCTTTAGGAAGAACATGCTAATATAAAAAAAAAATGGTAACTCAACATATATGTGAAACCAGAGGCTTCTTTAAGCATTTATGGGCTCACAATAAATTGTGACAAACGAACCATAAAAAAATGTAAACTGAACTCTGCCTTATGGCAACTGTGACACTGCACTGACACTATCTTACCAAATGTAAAACACTACATGTTACATTTATGTTTTTCCTTGAAAAAGCCACAGCTGTAAGATCCTAGTGTTCAAACTTTTCTGAATCCTATTTTGGCAAATTGTACACTCTTGTTGATGTACTCCTTGAACGTGTTGTACTGCTCATGGACAACTGGTATTTGCAGGGTTCCATTGCAAGTAGTGGATTCAGCCAGCACTTTAGTAGCATTGTTTGCCAGATACTTTACACGCATAATGGTTGTTTCATCAACTGGTAGTGCTGGATAGCCCGTCCAAAATTGAACCAAGCCATGCAATCCTACCTGTCCTTTGGCACCATCTGTTCAGTGAAACAATGGCAGAAACAGTAAACGGGAATGTTGAACTACTATATACTTTTTAGAAATATTTGTAATGAGAAATAGACACAGTGACATTTTTCAGCACACATTAAAGGAAAATAGAGAAGATGCAAAGGCAAAGGCATATTCAGAAAAAGAAAACTAAATAAGTTCCCCATGCTTCATCACTGAGGTACAGGATCTGGAGATTTATGGTTTCTTAAAACAAGTTAGCTTAAAGGTCAAATGAACCAAAAAATTGAAATACTTTCTTTTGACGCTTTTCCTTCACCAAACACTAAAAAGAAGCATCCTAAGTGAGATTTGGGCAAAGATTTTTCTTCCCAGGCCTTTATAGAAAGATAAAAGATCAAAATCCGAGCATTTCCGAAGACTTCGCGAAAACGTTTCTGAAATGGCCGCGTGATAGACTGGGTTCTATGACGTCAATGTTGGTCTTTCAGGGCGGAAAAACGTTCAGCGCAAGCTTCTGCGCATCCCTTATCGCCTGCGTTTGTCTGTGTTGTTCTGTGAGAGTTCTGACTGAGACTGAATGAAATACACGAGGTGCGAACTTTTGCTCCTTGTAAAGGGTTTTTTTTGTTTTTGTTGTTGTCTTTTCGTCACTTGAAAATGACTTTGGGATTCAGAACAACCAAAGTTAGAGTAAAAACAGATCATTCCGTCAGTCTTAGGTGGAATAAAAAGTTTTGAACATTTCCAAACAGGTTTGTATTTTTCTGATAATTGTACATTCGATTTGTGAGTTGATTTTGTGTCCAGTGCTTCGCCTTCTTTCGCCGGGTTGAATTAAAACCTGCTTGTATTCTGTTATTAGTAGTTATGGTTACTTTATTTACATGCCCAGATTTATTTACTTTTGCAAAACCAGCTTTATCCTTGTCTTCAGTCAAAGAACCGTAATGCTAACGCATGCGAGTGAACAAACTTGTGCGCTTTTAAGCTTTTAAGTTTTAAAAACTTCCTCGGAACTATAGAATTCCAGCAAGCTTACTCGAGAAGAAAAGACTACTTCGATCATTTTTCTGTTACTCAAGTAATAATAGTCAGATTTTTTTTCCCTTAATTTTTTTTATCTTTCTGTATGCAAATTTTCCTTCCACTCGCTGTGAAGTAACGGAGAACGACAACTGCCGGCAGTGACTCCAAAAAACTCGACTCTTTGCCCGTAAACAATTGCTGGAGCTGGATTTGATTGAAGCGAGCAAAACAAATCCTTATGTGCAGTTTTCTGTATTTTCTAATGATTCAGTTTTTGGACCAGTTATTAAAAGTAGCTAATCCTCATAATCCAGCGAAGTAGTCGGAATCATGGCTTGGCAAAAGATAAGCTTGCGACTTATCTTTTGCTTTTAAGATCTTTAGGTAGGTTGTTTCCGTACAGAAAATTCACTTCTTTTTTGTCAGCAGGTATAAGAGCCTTAAACCTTATGTTTTTGTAAAGAAAATTTGTTGTTTTGAAACCTTATTGAAGTTTTTTTTAGTTAAATTAAGCATGATGGAATTGTTCTTTGCTTGTCGCATCTCTTTGCCAGCTTACTAGTAAAGTGGCGTCCACGGTCCTTAAAGTGACCTCAATCGGTAATTAAATCTTTTAAATAACTGGAAAGAAGTTTTTGCAATAATGTAACTTTAACTTTGTGTGAAGGAAATCTTACTTACGCGTAGGTTTTTGACAGGTGTTATGCATGTTCAACTTGACAACACAAAGTAAAATTTATCTGCACGAAACGATCAAGTTTAAAAAACTATGGTTGCTTTGAAACCGATCTTGGGGAAGATTTACTAGATAAAGATTAACTCTTTTTCTGCCAACATATCAACGCCAAAACTCCTACATTGAGGATTTTGTTAATATTTGAGTGATCTGCGAAGCTACAAGTGTCCGATCGAGCGTGGGCCTTAAAATATCAGCTCGAGTGCGACAAAGTTCAGTGTCTTCGAACACATTGTGGGCAAACTTCAATTTCTTTGGGCAGATTATTATACAAAGATATTTGTTTTTGTGTCCCCGGTGGAGCTCCGGACCTTATATATCCAGGAACTTCCTTACATGAACACATTTTGTGAATGCATCTCGTAAAAAATCGAAGTTACGTACGCACATTTCCCTAACAACTCAACGAAATTAGTATACGTCGTTAAAATCCGTTTTACTATAATGTATTCTTCGAGAAAATTAAATAATAAGAAGGTTATAAACACAGCTTGCAACTTTTGAAGACAAATTGCCTGTTCTTTCCAGGTTTATGGCTGCACAAACCACTTCTGCGCCAAGTCCACTCGAAAAACTCCGTTTTGAATTTCCCGGTTTTTTCACCTGACCAACATTGACGTCACAAGCTGTTTTTTCCGACAATTTTTCCGACCGCTCTACGAAGATAAGGGCCAAAAAATAGCAATTATTAATTGCGAATATCTCGAAGATACTTGCTTCAATTGAGCTGAAACTTCATAGTATGTTTATTTGGTTCATATTAAACACATTTCACTAGAATTGAACGAAAATAAAAAAGGTCGAAATTTTGGTTCATTTGACCTTTAATGCTAGGATTTTAACCCTTTAAGCCCTTAGAATGCCATTTTGGCACATACTGTTAGGACTAAGTCAATATTTTTCCAGTTAACGTAAATACAATTGTACCTCCCCCCTCTTTTTTAATCGATTGAACATCCCTAGAACTTTTGAAACCTTTTTGGCCTGGTACATTTCTGGTATGCAACATAACTGAAATTAAAACACTATAATGCGAGCTGCAAAATAAGGCTATGTTTACCTCCGTGCTGTACGTGGAAATAAACAACATCTACGGGGGGAGTAGAAATATTCCTAGTCACTTCATGGTACTAAAACCAGGATAAGCTCTGGCCTGATGGGCCTCTTAACTAGAACACAGACTTAACCTACCTACCTACCGGTACCTACGTTTACTATGAATAAACTCACTTCTTTCAAAACCATAACGTTTTCTTATAGTTTTGTTCAAGAGATTTATAGAATTTACTCATCAACACAATTTTTAACAGTGTACCATATTAATATTTACATTTATGAAAAATGAACATTTGCATTGGGGGGGTGGGGGAAGCTTAAAAGGGTTAATTGGAATAAAATTTTTGAATAGTTGGCATTTGCTAATCTCCAGCTGTGAAAATAAAATTTCAAGCACTGAGCTATAATCACCTGTGAAAAGCTCCTCAATGTACTGTTCAAAGAAGTTTCGAGCACGTTGCACAAGGGATTACTGCTTTCATCGTACTGTATGTGTGATGCCATTTCCCTTTCATCAGTGATCTCCAAGTCCTTGGGAAAGACTCTCTGTTGGAGTTTAGGGTATCTTTCCAGTAAGCTGAGAAGGCTCACTCCAGACACTTTTACTTCCCCCAATCCCCTTCTTAGGTCATCTAAGGCTGTTATTCTTTTTGTCACAACCTCGGAAAGGAGAATGCATTCATACGCCAGGTTCCTTCTCTCCTCTGTGATAGTAATATGAGCAAAGCCAGGTGACATTAGAAGCTCTGAAATATCATGTGGGCTATTTGGATCTGTAAATGCTGGCAACTGTTCCTCTCCACAGCTAAGGAGCTATTATAGATAGATAAACAAATTATTTCAAATGGTAAGCAGTGTTAACATAATTATTAAGAACTGTAGAATGATTAAGAGATGGGTCACCAATGTGCAAAGCTTGTATGCTGCATTTGGTAAAGGGGCACAAAGAAATGACATGCAGCACAATGTTGCATTAATTTGTTGCACTGCACCTGTTTGCTAACCAAACACCTAGAACAGGCTTACTTAATAAAGTTAAAGTCAAGATTGTCAGTGCTAAGAAAATAACTGTCTCTATTCCCTCTTAATCATAAGATGGTTAATAATTTTACTCTTGGATAACAAGTTGTTCAATATAATTATCCTTATTTCGAACAAATAAATATTTCCTTATTTCAATATATCCTTATCGCGGCCTCAAAAGTCCGCGTGGGCCCAAAGAGAATAAATAAGTAACTAATATATCCTTATTAAAGGAAAGTGAGTGCTGGCGAAGGGAAAGCCGTTATTGGGGTAGACGACACAGATGCTGAAAATTGGCCGATGTATTGTCTCATTACAGAGATGTAAGATAACAAAATGACGCTCAAACATTTAGCCTCAACAGGCCAGTTGGTAACCTAAAGCGAAAGACTTTTTCTTGTTGACTCAATGGTCCAAGATTCAGCTTTAATGAGCCGGTAAGTAACCTCATTCTTTCCCTTAAAGCCCTTTTCTTTAACGCCAGATCTGTTTTTTAATTCACCTCCCACGAATATCTGTGAAGATGGTCTTATTTACCGTAACCTTGCCGCACTCACCTTTTCACTGCTTGTAGATAGCAAGGCTAGACGTGCGGAGTCAAATACGCATCGATTGTGACGTGACGTAATGAATTAGCCAATTGCTCATTGATGAAATTTGACAACAAGTCGTCAAAACATTGATTGTGACGTCATGTAGTGAAAAGCCAAACTGTACATGCCAGAATCTGTCCAAAAAAGATCTCGAATTTTCACGGCTTATATGTTAAGTAACACTGCTGACCTTCTGAAATAGTGTGCTGGCTGTGGCTTGCTAAGGCTCGCCAGCAATAAAATTAATAATATCATGGTCATGCACTTAGCTTCAAGATAGCGAGTTTCCAGGCATGCCACTGAAACAAAGGAAACAATTCAATGAAAATAATGTGATTAAAAATCCCAATTGGAAGGAGGCAGATGAGTGGGTATATGTAAAGCGTGTAGGATTTGAATGTCGTGCTACCAAAGACAGATCCATCCAGTGGCTGGAGGAGGATTCAAACCTGGAACCACAGAATTACCATTTCCAGCGCATAAGACATGGGCATTAAATGTATCTTACTTCTTAACATTTTGTCTTTTTTATGCAAAAGCAAATGGAATTTCTAGTCAGATTTAACAAACCTTTGTTAAGTTTTCTGCTAAAACAGGATCTGGGATGTCCTCAACACATACATGAGCTACTGCTGCATCCCTCCTTCCACTTATCAGGTATGACACAACAGCTGGGGAGAGCCCAGGAACACCGTGGCAGTCGTTGAGAATAGCATGCAGTATCATCTTGCCAGCCTGCACAAACAAGCCGCCTGACAAAACATCGTAGTTGTTAATGGGAACTAGATGCCCCACCTGACCCTCAAACAAATTTATTGAAACCCCTTGCTTTTTCAACCTTTCCATTAACAAGTGAAAAAACTCTCTCGTTACACCACCTACATCAACTCCTGCTTCACCAACAAATTCAACACACAGTGGCGGAGTTACATCAAACCCGGGATTTTTATATTTCCGCAGCATTTGCTTTAGAAGGTCATTTTCCCTGTCTACTTCTAAATCAATCTCACAACCAAATCGTTTCACCGCTTGGGTAGTAAAACTGTTTAGAGAGGATACAGCATCCTCAGCTTTTACTATGGCTGAGGATGCCAAAGGGGCATTCCACTGATCTTCATCACTTGACATACTCTCATCGTTAGTTGCTGTGTAAACAAAACAAAATTAAATAATCATTAAAATGTTGCGTTCCATTATCATGAATGGATTGATGATAATGGTGTGGCATTGTCAGGATTACTACAATGGGTTTGCAGGTTTTCAGGATTTTGGCAATAGGAAAATTCTGACTGGTATTAAAAAAAGTTGTCCTGAGCAATGCGAGGATCGTGACCCAAAATCCCCCTAGAGTTGTAACTCCCATAAGCCCTTGCAGCAGAAGTGTAATAAACAAGAAAGCACATGGTTGAAAGTTGACTGTCTCTTTGTGGATTAGTTCGCTGTTTCCCCGCTTGAGGCACTGTAGGGATTCTGCTTGAAGCTCTATCGGCGAGCGAGTAACACATACTCGTTTTCAGTTAAACAAAGAGATGATTCATCTCTTATGCAAGCAAGGCTGCACAGAAAACAACCAACCTTTTTTTTGGTGCGCACGAAAAATACAGTTTGCGCACGCTTATCATGCGTAAAATTCTGCGCAGTAAGGATGCGCAATGCAATACTAAGGAATCACCTTAAAGCTAATGAATATTTTTTACTGGGCTGCCTGTGCGCCAAGTCATAAAATGGGCTTTCGGTCGTCTGCGGCGAAAAACGGCCTCCCGGGGGAGGGAAGACACGAGGTTCTGGTACCGAGAAACGATGTTCTCACAAATGGTTTCATATGATTTTCTCTTGCACGAACCCTTGCACGGATACTTTTTGTACCTCGTCTGCGCTCCCCCTGAAAAACCCACAAAGCGTTGCGAACCTGAAGAAGGTATTTGCGTTGTTCGAAGCGATTCGATCATGGGAGTCACTCTATAATTTTTTTATTGTTCGAGTTTAAGTCAGTTAGATGATATTGGCGCTGGGAAACTCAGAGAAATGCTCGCGTTGCATTCAAACCGACACGCCGTTCACGGTAGGTTCACACTAAGGGGTGGACCATTTGATTTTTGAAGGGGGGGGTTGCAGGATTTTTAGACTGCTAGATATTTTTTTTTATTGCTCCAGCCCTGCAGGATTTTTTTTTTTAATCTCCCTGTCCTGGCATGATATTTTTTTTTAATGGAAATTTAAAATACAAATTTTGAAGTTTAATAACTTGACCATCACCAGCCACTCAAAATTCACCCTTTAGGCTATTAAAAACCACCTTTACACGCAATGCATTTTTAAGTTTACATCTTTCTTTCAAAGTAATAAAGAGTTTCATCTTTATTCAGTGTACAAAGAAATGCATCTCCACTAACCTGCGGCTAGTTGATTTCCCTGTCAGGCTAGTGGATGTTATATGCATCACTCTCTGTACTTGCCCAACAGATCACTTGCCCACTGAACAAGTGAACGTTTTTTTCTTTCTAATTACGTAATGCTACTGAGAAAAGCTTTCAAACTTGCGTGTAATGGTTCCAACTTGTCCAAAGGGCGAGCTGGAAATTCCACCTTATTTGAATCCTGTTTTTTGCTTTCAAAGCAAGAGAGAGGGACTTCAAAGAAGGAGAAATTGCACAGTAATCTGGCTTCTCAATATACGCATTTAGTATTTGGAGTTATCTAGAGTTTAAAAAAAAAGGAGGGTTCAAGAAATGGGGACCTCACTGTAGATTTTACCAGTTTAGACGAATTTCGAGTGGACGTAGAAGCAGCTGGAGGGGATATAACCTGCAGGTGTTGTCAATGGTCCTTTTTGAAGGCCGGTACCAGGACAGTTCCGTTCCCACAGCCCATCATAGCAAAATCCTTTGCCACGCCCAGGTTTATAAGGCTGCTTGATTTTTTTTCCTTCTTAAGAATTCTGCAAGAAATTTTTTTTTTAACCAGAAACATATGCTCGATATTTTTTTTGGGATTTGCACAACCCCCCCATCAAAAATCAAATGGTCCACCCCTAAAAGATGACTGTGAGCGTCAGGTTTGGAACGCCGTGGCCGCTTCGTGAACTCAAAGAGAGAATTATCGATCGATGTAGTACATGAGCAATTAAGAAGCACAATTTATGAGCAAGGTATTTCACCAGTTGACGACACTATGGCTGAAGACTTGCTTGTAAGCCTTCGTAGTCAGTGAAGCGAACAACTCAGTTGCCGATGAATGGCACTACGCACGTCCATGAGCAAGGGACGTGACAACTTTGCCATGTTAGAAGACTGGCTTTTCCTTTAAATACTTCCTTCTATTTAATGCAACACGCGCCACTTTGGAGGTCTAAATTTCGGATACTGAGGATAAAGAAGACACGGACAAAAATAGGGACTCTGAGAATTTCGCACACAAGTTTAAAGGTTCACCGGGACATCGGGAGCTTCACAGAGAGCGACTTGAGGAAAATAGCAACTATTACTGACAAGGTTTGGTGACTGAGTAGAGCATACAAGTGTAGCCCACGTCGAAGTTTCAGGGGGTTTGCTTTTGTTTGTATTTGTATCTTGCTAAGCTTTTATCATTAAATTTGTACATGATCTTGTGATCACAATTCTGTGTTTTCGCCCATTCAGCAAGCACGCTATATTGATGTCAGCATTAGCGAGTTTCAGCAACATGCCTTTGAAAGTTTTCAGCTCTCGTGATGTTTCTTGATATTTCTTTTACCATTTTATGGAGATCTAAGCTGAAGTCACCGCAAAATGGAAACTTAAAAAAGCGTATAATCCATTTATCTCGAAACATAACACACATGACTTATACGACCTTTATTTTCGTAAAGGTGTTTTGAATACGAACGAACACAGTCAATGTGAGGGGCAAAAACAGCATTAATATAAATGAACCATAGGGTTTTAACTAATATAAGGGTCAATTATTGTGCATTGAGATGAATCGCTTGAAAAGAGAGACTTCGCTTGAAGATGTGATCAGAAGTAAACAAAGGCATAATAGTGTGTCACGTTCAGTCTTTTTAATATCCAAGGAGTCACTGTGAATAGTGTTTCCATATTGTTTAGCTGGCACAAAAACTTCGAACGAGTTATAAAGCGGCATAGTTATCTTCCATGAAGAAAAGTTCGTCTTGGGTGAGACAAACAGAACTGGAGCGAATTTTTAACTCGCATCGGTATCAGGTAAAAAATATGTTATCGATCGTTTCATCTATTTACATTGTTTGAAGTGCGTGCTGGTGAACGTAACATGCGAGCGAGAAATCTTTAAACTTTTTTAGGTCTCAAAATGCAAAGGATTTTATTCCTTTAAGTTAGAGAAAAATACCATGAGGAAAATCTTAAAACTGAATATTTTTCATCTTGTGGAAAAAATTGTGCGTTTTCTTGTAGACTGTGGACCGCAAATTAGGATCGCACTTTTCACAAACATGCGAATTCTGAAGTTCAGAAGCCAACCGACGACTGCGTTTTTCGCTGCTGTCAATCATCTTATCGGACCTCTTAGGAAACAAAACTTTACTTCACGGGTTCAAAAGGTCATGGTTGTGATTTGTGGATTTCGATCCGTTTTGTGTGTTTCTCTGTTTCAAGGTTCGTTGCTTGTGATCGTAATTATGATTGACGGCAGCGATAAACACAATTGTGAAGGTGGCTTTTGAACTTTAGAGTTCGCATGTTTGTGAAAAGCGCAGTAAAGTCTCCGTGCAGTCAGTGAGGCCCCTGGATCAGGCGGGATCAGTGGGCAGTTAACTGTCTGTTTTAGTATACTTCTGGTTTTCATACAATACAATATTTCTGTCTCGTGTAAATCAGCTCAGTCTGTCGCATTTTATGCTCGTAGAACAACAACAATTTTTGGAATTTCCAGTTACGTCAAATTAGTCACGTTATACTGTCACGCTATATTTTGGGGCACAAAGGGATTGGGGGAGGGGTGCGTGGAAATAATGCAAATTGTTTCCTGCTTAGAATTAATGGCTAACTTGTTTATTTTTATTCATAATCGTGGAATTTAAAAGTTATTATACAGCCCCCACTTAAAAATGGTACTCTTTTTTTTGGTTACGAAAGTCTTTCAAAACGGTACAATGTTCTGAATGAGTTTATGTTTCAGTCTCACATGAGGTTCTGTCATATGCAATGGTTGCCGACAAGGTTTTATGGTAGCCTGAGTGTGTATAGCCGCCCCCTCCCTTCAGAAAAAATAGCCCCTTTGCAGCCCAGTTAAAAATCGCCTTTCGGCGATTCTTGTTTGGTGTGATATGTCTGTATTCAACCCAGTGGTACACAAGCACAGTTCCACACATCCAGCCTGAACTTACTGATTCTAATATTCTGGTGAGGAAAGTTAATTGTTGACTGCTCGGGTCTTGATGTGCTTGGTCCAGCAGCAGTAGATAAGCCGGCAATATTAGTACAGAGGGATGACTGAGGTGCCATACTTGCAATGGAAGAAATGCCTGATGCACTCTGAACATTGCCATCCTAATAGCAAAGAAGAAAAAAATGTTTTCCACACCTTACAAATTCCATTCTCCAGCTGGGTTTTTGTTAGTGAAACACAGAAGATGAAATTTTCTAATTTGCAGACACTATATCTCACTGACCAGTCTTGATGTGCTAGCATCAGTAGATGGCCCAAGATAACTGTCCACACTGCAAATCTGATAAAGAGATTTACAAAAAATGTCTTTGGCACCTTACAAAACTCAGTCTCATGGGCATATTGGGTTCTTGCTGATCAAAGAAAGGAGCTAAGGGGCTTACAACTCTAACAAAATGAAGCTGTTTGAAGAGAGCAATGTGTGAATAAAAGTCTTCCACAAAATCTGGAATATCGCCCAAATTTTTGGGAGACCAGGGTACAAAGAAGTTGGTGTCCCATAGCTCCGGGCTAGAAGATTTTGGTGTTGGGCTAGTGGATTTTACCCACAACTTGCCCGAAAAAGCAAGTGAAACTTTTTGGGGAAACTTTTTTTGAAGAAATTAATTAGGGCAGGCTGGAAAATTGAACTGCTTTATACTCTGGGAGAAATTCTTAAAAAGTCTTAAACTTCATGAAATTTTTACTCTACCACATCATGTCTCCTCCAAATTTCCCAAGTCTCCCAGTTCCCAGCAAAATGCCCACATTCCCAAGAGAATTTATTTCCTCCTGAAACAGACTTCCTTTAGAGTTGACACCCCCCGTGGAGATGAAGTCTTTCCTAATTAATCTAGTTATTAAAGATTATGCAGACTGCATCTCACTTACTTCTCTGGATGTGCTTTGTCCAGCATTAGTAGATGGGCCAAAATAACTGCTTTGATCAGCACCAGATGGCCCGAAATAACTGCAGAGGGTTGACTGCTGCTGTGTTGCTGTATTTCCAATGCATTCAGTGCCTGATGCACTGTCATTGCCCTCCTGATAAAGAGATTAAAAAAAATGTTTTTGCCATCTTTCAAATGTGCCCTGGGTTTTTGCTGATTAAAAAGACAGGCCTAAGAGACAAATGTATATTATTATAATAACCTAGATAATGCAGACCCTACATGTATTAATCTCACTGACCAGTCTTGATGTCCTTTGTCCAACATCAGTGCATCGAGTAACTGATGTACTTGGTCCAATGCGAGAAATGGCCGATGCATCATTAACAATGCAATCCTACAAAAAAAAGATTGTATAGAACTCACCATAATTTATCAAGGTAAAAGGAAGGAAATCCAAATCTTGATGGAGGTCTGGATATGTGAGTGTAGATTTTTACTCAATTTTCCAATTAACAATAATAATAAGACTATGAGCCCGTGTTTCTATGAGTGAATAATCAACAAGGTGTGGCCGAGTTGACTTCATAGAAAACGAGGGCTTGTCTAATTGTTTTAGTAGAAACTCTAAAGGATTGCAGTCCAAAACCTAAAATATTGTGCACCTTTAAGACAAAAATCAAAAAAGTTACTGCTTAAAGAGATACACGTACGCCACTGTGTTTTGTGAAAACAGTGAGAGAACTTATCAGATTTGCAGATTTCCAATAGAACACAGCTGTGTTTCTACTAAGTACTTTTAGTGGGAGGGAGGAGCACCCACCAGACCCAAGAGAATGGCAGAGATCAAGCTTATTATGGGACTTACATTTGTGGTAGTTGTGCAGGTAGTGGGCATAACAATTTCAACATAAATGTACCCTTGTCTGTAATTACATGAAATTCCTAATCCATCATACACAGCGGACTGTCTTGTTGTAACTTTGCCATTTTTCCTGTGCACAAAACGTAACTGTTCCTTCTTTAGCGGAGTGGCATTTGGCTTGCGTATGGGTGGCGATAAATTATAAGCCTCACAGATTGCAGTCAGAATTTCTGACTGTGAGCTTTGGTCAGAATATTCGATGTTTCCTTCCCATATTTCCCGAAATGATTTATAGCACCAAGGTTCATTATTCCTTTCCAGAACTGGGGTGTACGAGAGTGCTTGCACAACTTGACGTTTTTTCTGTGCTGAAATGTGCCTATTGTATGGTCCAAATCTTGGCCGTTGAGATGCTCTTTGTCTTCTTGATACTGGTCTGTTCTGGGCATAACTGTTCATGACATTTGTTACGTTGGCCAGAGCACTATCAATAGTTGAACCATAGCTGACAACTGGCATTGACTCTTGTTGGCCAATAATTATGTTCCGTAAAGTGTCAGACACTATTGAACAGAAAAGAAACCCATTTCAGTGACTTCTTCTGGTATAAGAAGCAAAGCAGATAAACATGACATCCACACTTCATGTGGGTTTAAACAAATATTTAAGAACTATAATAATTGGAACAAATTTTTATCAATTTTTAAGCTAGGGTTATGGATTTTTGATTTTCTTTTTATTCAGTTTTTTTAGCAGGGCATCTGTCAATAAGAGTTTTTATTTTAAAAGCAGAAAAGAGCTATCCTTATAAAATAAAGGTTTACTTACTTACTCACTTACTTACTAGACTTAAATTCAAATTTGAATGATGGTGTCTTTGAAAAAAAAAAATTAATCCCTTGAGATAATCAGGGCTGAGTTTTCAAACATTCATTAATCATGTCTTATGGCCCCTATAAAATAATGTTATATTATAACATTATTTTATAAGGGTTTGGGATGGGGCAGACACAAAACCAGTTAAGAATAACTGATACCCCTGCAAAAAGGAGTTTCCACCTAATGGAGACCCCACCTTTCACTTTTTCAGTAATATTCTAATCATCATGGCTCTTTTATGTCATACTCTCATAAGTTAGTACAAATTTATCTTTTAAGAATATTATTTGCCATTAGATTCTCATACAAATATAGTAAATTAGGGGCGGAATGCATGGTCAAGCTAGCCAGTATGCCACACATAGAACCATTTTTTTGCTTATGGTGGATTGGGGACACTTAACTAAGAAAACTTTAATAATTGCACTCAACATTGTTTGGACAAAATCCGTGAATAAATAAATTTCTGTTATTCAAAGCTCTAAAAGAGAATTTTAAAAAAAATCGTTTCATATATTTATTTCTTTTTACTTTTTAACAAGAAATTTGTTTTGTAGAAGTTAAGCTCATGTCACCTTGCCAATTTGTACATACATGGCAGGTGGGATAAAAGCTCTTATCCAGTTGAAACGTGACAACATGATGTTGAGGACCTGTACCTACCCGACTGTTCCTTTTGAGCAGAACGTTGTGCAGGGGCCACGGAAGGTTCTCCTGCTCCATAACATAGAACATCTCCATCTCTGAAATTCAAAACATTTAAGCGTAAGTTAGCCATAGTGGTTTAGCATCCTGTGTTCAGTTCCCACGCCAAAGCAGCAAATGCTTCGGAAATGACGTCGATTAAGAATCCCAATTCTTATTCTTACCTTAACAAAGCTACATCTTTGAGTTCCCCCAAGTCCTCGTTAAATAGTTTAACCTCTTCTGAAATCTCGAGCTCTCTTCGGAGATCTTCCAAAGATTGAGGAATTGCATAGTACTGGCGCAATAATATGTCAATGGTGAGTCGGCGGTTTAAACTCTTTTAAAAGGCAAACCATAGAAAGTGGTTTCAGCTTACCTTTCCGCCGTATTCCTGACGAATTGGCCGTACAAGTACACGAGATACTGCGAATGAAATTTCACGAGGAGAAGATGATCGGCAAGTCGCCATGTTCCTCATCATTTTGCGCGGGAAAAATGGTTCGGGACATTTCATTGCCACGATACATGAAACCTATTCCGTTAGAGGCACTTTTCGTGCCATCTTATACCAAGTCTGATTTCCGAACTCCGCGTATATGCACATTTTTGCACGCGTATACGTGGGCTTTGACAGGTACGCATATATACGGGTTTTTAGCAACGCGTATAGACGTGCATTTGATTTTGCACATATATGCGTATTAAATACGCGTATATACGCGATATAAATGGTTGTATATGGGATAAAAGCCCATACATAGCGATTATAAACGATTATACGCGGCAAAAAAGCCCACGTACACGATGTCATAATTTTGAAACGGATGGCCAACCATAGGATAGCGCTATCCTATGGATAAATCACTATCCAGCGGATAGCGCTATCCTACGTTTGAACAACTGGGGCCTGAACTGGAATTTGATTCACTCAGTACGGTATAGTATAAAGTTGCCATGCATGGAAGCCCATGGAACCAGTCCATGGAGGTGTATTAGACTGTCACTTCTCCTGGGTCGGTAAAATGATTAATATTGATTTGTTTCAATGTAAATCCTTCGGTTGTCTAACACGTGTTGTACACAAAAGCTCATGGGCAAAATTAAAGCCACGACATGCGACACCACAAAAGGAAATAAACATAGGAAAACACACAACCAGCTCGAGTGAAATGAAATATAAGCTAATATATATTTTACTCTCCTAACACAACACATGAATGGTTTCGTTTCAAAAAGCGTTTTGAAGTAAGATAGCAGTTGCACGACAATGAACAAGATACCTTTTTAGATTGACTTTTTCCCGCATTATATCGATCTTCGCGATATTGCTTTTCCAGTTTGCTCCCCAAACGGATTGAAAAAAAAACTCACATAACTCAGACGATAGTCTGACGATTTATTGTCTCAGTTCTGCAAACCAACAGTGTGTTCAGCCGGTTTCTGTTACTGTCTTCAAATTCTCCAAATTATCAGTGAATCCAAGTTGAGTGAAGTGGTGCATTTTCAAAACATCCCAAAGAAGTCACTCTCTAGAGAGAGCTCAGGAAGTAAAATTTTTCCCCCAGTGGAGCGGTGAGGGACAAAAAGCCGTTGTGAGCATGAGCAGTGATATTTGTAACTTCTACACATGCGCGACCGGATGTCAGAAATTTTCTGACATCCGGTAACTGCTGCTTCCAGAGGACACGCGTGCAAAACGTCTGCGCATGCGCAAGGTCTCTATTTTCAATAATTAAAATTAGCAAAATCTTCCCCATTTAAATTGAAAAACACTTAGGAATGTTTGATATGTTTAATGGTTTGCAGCCGGTTCTAGTATTAAGCACAACAAAAAATTACTTAAACTAACTTAACTAACTGGTAAAGTCGTCCAGTACAAGGTTTTTCCGTCCTTGTTTTTCCACTTAGCATGCATTGGTCGTTTTCGTTGTTCGCATTGACCGAGCTCAGCGACATGATGACCAAAACAGCAACAATGGCTACGGCGAAGTGCTGCCAGAGCGAGCGTGGACTTTCAAACATGATTTTCGCCTTTGGTGCAAGGAGGAAAGTATGTGGTGCAAAAGAGAGAAACTAAAGCAATTAATAAACTTTGTGTTCGTGAAATTCTAAGCTTATCTTTTGTGTGTGGAGATTACTTTTTTGAATTTCGCGGCCGGAATCTAGTTTGTTTTGGTATCGCGTATAATTTCGATTGGGGGAGGCACATGCAAATTCGCGCCGGAAGCAGGGAAGACACGCATGCGCACTGCGATTTTCACGCGTGTCCTTCCAGAGCCCCTCGTTTCTCTACCACGTGACCAAGAAACGACGGGCTCTGGGGACGAGAATGCCCTAAACCCCAGACCTCTATCGTCTTTACACATGTGCCAAGATCCGAGCATGCCATTACATTCTTAAACGAAAAAGTTTAGAAAATGGCTTCAGCTAATCCAGATATTTTATATAAATTTGTGTCTATGAGAACGAAATGGACACGCTGTTTTGAAGAGGATAAGCCTGATATAGCAAAGACTGTTAGACACTTCTTTGGCCGACAGTTTTACAGAAAGCACAAGCATTCTACCTATGTGATCGGCGAACTGCCCGATGGAATATTCTTGTTCGTAAAACCTACCATGTACCAAAACCTTAAGAAGAAAATTGAAGAGCTAATTGAAGAGACGTTGCCTGACGTTCGGCCGACAACTGGTGCCACTGTTATAGAGGAAGAAAAATGGTTTCCAGATAAGCAGTCTTTTACTGAGTTTCTCGATGCTAACAGAGAAGAACATTATAAAAGTGCGGAAAGGTAAAGTAATATTAACGGCTATTGAAGACTTATAGCGGGCCATATGGCGACGGCGGCGATCACACAAACATAAACAAAACCATATAACTAGATTTAAAGACAAAACCATGCCACGTTGGTTATCGACAGCAAGTTTTCAGTTTTCTAAACGGTTTGTTGATCATAGAAATGACGCACGGCAAAGTTATGAGCATTTGTTATGTTGTGTAATTTCTATTATCGTTAAAAGAGTAGACAAAGAAAAATATAGTCGATTCGTCTGGTACTTTTTTTCCTATAACAATACTGGAGTTTCTCGGAAACTGGGTCTCGGAAGCTGCTCCCCGTCGAGTTTCTCGGAAAAGTGATTTTCCTCTCGTGTGACATGGCGTGTGAAATGGCGCCTTCATTGAACTATTTTTGAACAGATTGTTATGATACTCAGTTCAGAGTTTTTTTTACCCATTGTATTTGTTACAGCCGGCAAATACTGGCGCGTCCGCTTATAATGCAGAAATTATGGCTTTTTTAATCATGAAATTTATACATGGCTGGGAAGCTGTGGGGAATAAATTAAACAAGAGAAATGAATTATTGAGAACTGAATCTCAATGTGATTTCTTTTGTTTTATTCCTTCAGCCTGGGTCAAAAATTCGAAACTGGCCAATACAAAAATGACCTCTTCAGCTTATCTGTTTTGTTTTGCCAATGCAGGTCTCAAAAAAATGAGTTTGTTTGTTTCAAGAGCCAAACACGAGCCTCATCCATTTTTGACTAGCCTGAATTTCAGACATTCCTTCGAGTCATATACTCCTCTCAGCGACGTAAACCGAAAACCGGGTAGTGATTTTGATTGGTTGATTGCTGAATGGAGTATTCGACTTGAGGGAATGTCTGAAAATTAGGCTACATTTTTGAGTTTCATGGTCACAAAAAAGCAATGAATAGTTTGAAGAAATAATTTGTTACGCGCTCAGGCGTGACTTCGTGTCGAAGGAAAAGAAAGTTTTCTTTTTCACAGCCATAAACTGCGCCTGTTTGCTCTTTTAGGTCCTTTCAGAGGTCGCAATGACAAATTTCCCAACCCTTTTAAATTTTTCAACTAATGAAATCCGTACCCTCTTATACTGACCCGAATCCTGAAAAAGATAGCCCTTTCGGGCGGAGCCTCCCAGTTTAGGTCATTATAGGGAGTACCCTATTCCATGGGCGTCGAACCCAATAATGCGCGGAATACATCGAGTATTTTGACAGATATATTTTGCCTTTAGGGCTTTACAGTACCAAGTAAATTAAAATCAACGTAACATTTTATTATCCTTCTCAGGAGACAGCAGGAAGCAAATACCAGCTTAAGACGACTACGCAAGACCTTGAAAGCCAGTCCAGGAGCGAAGATTCTGGCATTTAACCTGGTGGTTTTTGAAGGTGACCACAATGTCGTCCTTGAGATTGGCTACACTAGGACAACTCTAGGAGACAAGACAAATCAAAAGCGAGCGTTTCACTACATTATCAAAGAAAACCTCAGGTATATGTGCGAGTTTTAAACCGAAAAATGCATTTAATTATTTATATCACAAACGGCGACACTTCAGCAGTTAAATTAAATGTTATTTATCACAACTTCCCTCTTGACTGGTTGTAGAAACTAATTTGCGGTTCCGGTTACTTGAATCCTAGCTGGAAGGCCTCAACAAGCAGCTTGAGTAAGATTACGTCGTAGTGTCCATAAGATTACGTCGTAGTATCCGACGAAATACTGATTTCAATTGTGAGACTTGATTAAAAATCCTAGCTATTAAGCAGCGAACAAGAAGGCAGCGTGGCCGAGTGGTTAGAGTGCTGGACTATTATTCCAGAAGCCCCAAATTCAAGTCCTGCCCTGACCGCTGGCTTGATTTGTTCTCGGTAGTCCCGACCTCAAATCTCCGACCACGCTTGTAGAATAGCCAACTGGTTCATCATCATCATCATTGTCATCATCATCATCATCATCATCATCATTATTATTATTATTATTATTATTATTATTATTATTATTATTATTATTATTATTATATTTTTGTATTTTAAAGTCACTTAGGCAAAAGAGTTGAGACCCTTACTGTTAATTACCACTAATTTGTTTACGGTGAATGTTTCCGTGAAAATATAGTGATCAGTGTGGAGCTGAAGAACTCTGCAGTACTCCCGCAAATACCACCGCCTAATTTTAAATAGGCGGTGAGATTCATTAACTTGAATGTCTCTTTCTCTGACAGGTACGAAAACAAGAATAGGAATCGCTTCGAGTTTGGCATCTCTGAGCGCATGTCTCTCAAGGAAGCCGCTGCAAAAGTCCAGGAACAGGTCGCGGCTGTAGACATCTTAGTTACATATGGCGGAGCACAGGATGCAGAATTGCTTGATTGCTGTGGGATTTCAGTGACAGAGAAGATTATGTTTGACACGCAACTTCTAGCCGTGGTTTTAATACAAGGTCGACGACAGCACTTCCGTAATCTAAAGCAATTGCTGGTCGAGTTGGAAATCCCATTTGATGAAAATGTTCGCCTTTACAACAGCGGAAATTATGCCTACTTAAACACGGCTGTATTTCTGAAACTGAAAGACATCGCAATCTCGCCAAAGTAGCTCACCCATTTGTATCTTCAAATCGATTCTGAACAATTCTATGAGTAAAGGAAACATTTTGTTTTCGTATTGTAGGTGGTTTTGAATCCCTTTCATTTTCTTTAAACTTTTTAGGGGTCTTTAATTCAGAGAGTTGCATCACTATTACTCAGATTGTATGAAAGATTATTTCTTTTTGAGTCAAAATAATTTTTCATGTGTTATTGTTGCTATGGTAACCTGGTACGCCAAGAAAAGCATAGAGATTGTTTCCAGCATCCCAGAAACTGAACAAAATACGTCCTAGTATTACCTGTCACCCAAAAACTGCAGGGTAAAAATACTATTGAGAGCCGTTAAGGATCACGTTCACGTTATCAACTTTGAGCGGCTAAACAAGACTGAACTGCAGTTGTGACATGAAGAAATTTTGCAGTGGTACGCCACTGTTTTCCAGATTTATCCTATCCCTTCTTCTGCGGGTGTGACACGAATAAAATTTGCGTTTAGGAATTAGTGTGTAGTGATTTAGTTCCTTTTTTTGGGCGTAAGACCTTTTTCTCGGAGCAACGTTAAGGCCTTCGCTTGCTAATCAGCATTTTTTTAATTTGAAAGCAGTTCAGGCAGAGTAAGGCGCCGTTCGGACTCCGAGCGTTTCATGAGCCGACTGATTTGAATTAAGCCTGACCCAAATTATTAAGACCGGCTGAATTGATTCAGAAGCCGATCTTAATTCTACCGTACTAAATTCAAGAGAAGAAAAATATTCACTTCGGTCAAACTGCTTCCAAAATACGTCATAATAACTTATGCATCTGGTTCGGTTCATGGAAAGGTCGGCGTCTGAATCAAAGCCGTTCCAATGTTCATCCAAAGGCAAACTTCTCGGTCGGGCTAGGCGGGAAGAACGGTTGAGTCGTTCCAAATTAAAACAGGCGTTCCTCTGAATTATTCAGACGCCGAACTTTTCATGTACTTAATTCAATGTGTTAGGTTCGGCTCATGAAAAGTTAGGCCGCGTCTGAACCGGGCCTTACATAGGCGATGGCACATACTCCAGCAATCACTTAGTTTCCAGTTGTTGATTTCTTTGATCTTGTTTTGTTTTTGTTTCTTTCTATTTTTCACGTTTTTTCTGCACGCACGGCACGGCTCTGGCATACAAGTAGCTACACCCCATCTCGGTGCCTGTCTAACTTTTGCATCTGGTTCGGTTCATGGAAAGGTCGGCGTCTGAATCAAAGCCGTTCCAATGTTCATCCAAAGGCAAACTTCCCGGTCGGGCTAGGCGGGAAGAACGGTTGAGCCGTTCCAAATTAAAACAGGCGTTCCTCTGAATTATTCAGACGCCGAACTTTTCATGTACTTAATTCAATGTGTTAGGTTCGGCTCATGGAAAGTTAGGCCGCGTCTGAACCGGGCCTTACATAGGCGATGGCACATACTCCAGCAATCACTTAGTTTCCAGTTGTTGATTTCTTTGATTTTGTTTGTAGCTACACCCCATCACGGTGCCTGTCTCGTGATCAGTGTTGTTCGCCGGTTTCCTTAGTATGGCCAAACCATCGCCACTTCCTTTTCTTGGTCTCTTGACCTGTTTCTTCCCGTTACTAATCTGAGTAGTCGAGCTGTTGAAACGTTTTCCCCTCATGCTATGTACAATATCAGAAACCTGACGAGCTAAAAGAAGAAATGTGATGACTTGAAAGAAAAACTCCTTAGCTGTGCGATTCCAACACCGGGGTTTCTATGCTCCAGTCTAAATGTCATAAATATCCGAGTTCTTCGGGGGCGGATCAAGTAAATTTAATACGTGGTGGCCGGGATACTTTTTATTTTACTGAGAATTTTTTTTAACATAATACGAAATATCACAGAAAAAGGTGGGGAGGGGGCAGCTGCAGTCCCCCTGGCCACACCCCTAACCCCCGCCCCACTACTCCGTTAAAATGTTGTCGTTACCATTTGATGACTTTGATAACATGTGGATTTTCAAGGAGGTTAAAGATAACAAAACGAAAACTTAAAAATAAATTTTCTTTTGAATCTGAAACCGTAAGTTTTCTGAATTTCGAACTGATTGGAATATTATCGGGTATGTTGCGTCATATATCATTTTTAAATATAGATATTGATCCTTTTGTTTCCATATTTAGTTATTCTATATTATACAAACAAGTTCATACTGATATATTGCTATCAGTTCAAGTGCTCCTCCACTCGTTTAGTGCAAGTATCATCGAATGCGTTTATATGGCTTCAGGAAATTCAGACATTCTGTATAAATACGAGTCCATGAGAATCAAATGGAGTCGATGTTTTGAGGAAGTCAGAAATGATCATGTGGCTGACTCGATCAAAACGTTCTTCGGCAATTTTCATAGAAATCACAGAGGTTTTACCTTCGTGGTTGGGGAGCTGTATGATGGGACAACTCATCTGTTTGTTAAGCAGTCTAAATATCGACAAATCAAGAATGAGATAGAGGAACGAGTTGATGAGACGTTGCCAGACGTCGCACAGTTCAGGGATGTTACAATTATAAAAAGAAGAATATCATTTCAAGGTTTTCAGTCGTATCGAGATTTTGGCAACATCCTCAAAGAAAAAAACCTGGAAGTCGAAAGAAGGTTCGTAAACCGTTGTGTAATTAAATCCGGGGTTAAAAACAAACTGAGTCGTTGGCAGCAGCCTGCTTAGTTCGTTTGGTGATCTCTAGTTCAAGTCATGACAAAAGAGCCGGGGGAGAGAGGGCTTGCTGGCGAAGGCTTTGTTGACGCGTAGAAAATTCTTGTTTTATACGGCATCAAGCCTACTAGTCGCGACTTGTTTCATTATAAACAGATTTCTGAAAACGTTCTCTCTGATAGCACTGTGGAACAGTGACTGTTCTTAATATCCTTACAAACTGATGTAACTTGTAAATTTTTGGGTTGTGCACTGTTCCCTGTCGAAAAAACAATGGAAGAAGAATATGTTACGGCAAGTTCCTAAAGGATGATTACGAAAATAAAAATCTACCAATTAGTTACTGGGATCTATCACCTCATTTTCTATATTTGAATAAAAATATAATACTATAAATTCAATTTTTTTAATGGAACGGTTGCCTGAAGATGTTATTCATTTTATGCCAGGTGTTGTCGTCACTTAAAGGATTTTTCGTTTACGCTCTGTTTAACCTTATTCCAACGGTTCTGGTTGCTGTTAAGGGAGCTTCGATTGGGAAATCTTGATTTAGTTTTGAAATTCGGATTTCGGATAGTTACTGTAGCTAAGGCTTGTCTGCTTCTAAACCGTTATTTTCTGATAATTTTTAGAAGATATGCAGACGCAAGAAAAAGTGTAAGAAAACTACGCAGGACTCTAAGAGCAGATCCAAATGCCCTGATTTTGGCATTTGACCTGGAAGTTTACGAACATGACCACAGTATCATCTTGGAGATTGGCTACGCTATGACAACCTTGAACAACCCGAAAAAGATGCAAAAGTTCCACTACATCATTAAAGAAAATCTAAGGTATGTGAAGAGTTGGAACTGCTGAGGGGGAAATTGAAGGCTGATTAAAGCCTCATGAACTGCGGTCTTGAGAATTTTCAGGCCAAGGTTGATAATTACCATATCCCGATGATTTTTAAATCTTTAGTAATTAAAATTACTAAAGATTTCACACTTGTGTATGCTAGGAAACGCATTTACCTCAGTGTATTCAGAATATGAACGTTTACTTCGGCTGGAAATAACGGACTGCATCTGGGTCAGCAGTGACGAAAGGAGATTAACTAATAAGGGACTACTGCTTATTGCGTCATGTTACAGAACCGACCAAAGCGACGGATTAAAACTGAACGATTGGGCCTTTCTTGATTCTTTGGGATTTTACCACCTTCTAACTACCAATAGCAACAATAATAATAATAACACTTAGATTATCTTCGCCCCTATGGGGCTTATCAGGGATAATCAGGAAACAAATAATTTTAAATCGAACATAAAAACATGGTTGTAAATCCCAACGGGTAGGAGGCGAACCAGTTGGCTATTTTACAAGCTTGACCGGGGGTTTTAACTCTGGACAACCGAGAACAAATCCAGCTGGCGGTACAGCGAATTAACCACTCGACCAAGCTTCCTCCTACCAAAAACAGAGCAAGTATTGGTATTTATTTTTCATAATTTTACAGGTACACAAACAAAGATTTTGTGCCTGATAACAGGGATCACTTCATATTTGGCACCTCAAAGCGCATGTCTCTTAGGAGAGCCGCTGCAAAAATCCAGGAGCACATTGCAGAGGCTGATTTCTTAGTTACTCACTCTGGAGCACATGATACAGAGTTCCTAGACAGCTGTGGGGTCTCCGTATCAGGGAAGCTCATGTTCGACACTCAGATCCTTGCTACGGCGTTACTTCCAGACGGACCACCGCTCTACAGTCTGAGGCGGTTGCTGGAAGACTTGGAAATTAAATTTGATGAAAAGATTCTCCATAATGGCGGAAATGATGCTGTCTATACCATGAAGGTGTTTCTAACCTTGACGCAGCACGCACTCTGAAGGGCCCTATAATTTGCCTGTGTAAAAACTAGATCTCCAGTAGTCACACCAGAAATTCCTTCACATAATTCGTTTACAGGAATTTCCATACCCGTCGATTGATTAAGTCAACGGTAAAATGATAAAAAATGGGTATTTAAGCACAGGGTGGGATACGTGACGGTATAAATTGAAAGATTTGAAGCAGTTTGAAAGATGGGTTACGTTTGTACAGTTTACTATTATTTTCTTTCATTACACTCTTTTTTCATAAGAATGTATTTTATACAAATATCGAGACTGAAATGCTGAATATCAGTTTTAAGAATAAACCCAAGGCTGGTTGAAAAGAATATAATTTTGAGTGTTGAAAATCTGAATTATATGCTGGGCAAAATTCACAAATTTCATATTCCTTCACATTGAACGATTTAATTCTTTTTCACCAATATATTCTTTCACATTCACGACATATTCATTCACATAGAAAACAAAATTTTTATTCAACACAGTTGCTATATTCATTCAACATTTTGTGCGCATCCCTCTTTACGCGTCAGTGATTGAATCCCAGGCTCCTGCCTTTGGACTCTTATCTTCTGGAAACACGTGTTTTTAAAGACACCGGAATACCAAACGTATTTCTAGTCTCAATGGACGTCACCAGAGCTCCTGACGTCACTACCTGTACACACCGGGGGGATACTCAAAAATGTTTTATACGGCTCCGCCCCGAGGTCCAACCTCTTACCCTTTTCTATTGAAGAATGATACCCTTTTCACATACCTAGCTTAGAACTTTACACCCCCCGTTTAACTGTTGTAAATACACTGTCTTTAAGTTCTTTAAGATATGGATAAGTCACAAAAAAACGTTTTCATTACTTCTTCACAACCATAAAATGATCGGTAAGCCGTTTTGGGTAGTTGCGCAAACCGAAATGACAGATTTCCCCACCCTTTTATATACTTCAACTAGTAGGGTGGCCAAAGAACAAGAAAATTTACGATATAGTAAAATCACTACTCTTTCATATACCTGAAGCCTGAAAAAGATACCCCTTTAGAGCGGAGCCTCCCCGTATAGGCCATTATAAGGAGTACCCCCACGGAAAATACATACATACATTCCACAAGAGGAGCGAATTTAGTATGTCAAACATACGAAGAGTTTCATGAAAGAAATCCTTATATTTGTGGCCAAACTAGAAAATGTTTGCTGGACGCAAATGAAGAATGTTTAGACCTTTTCGTTAACAACCTACTCAGTAGTGTACTGCTGAAATTTCACAAATTAAAATAACGTTATTAAAAAAAGTTTCTCGTTGTGTCTACACACTTCAAAAGACTACTGAAGCCTTTCAGTACACTCACTTCCACAGCTGTCACGTACTGCTGTCACGTTGAAACCAGAGCCGTCAAAAAGGCTTTGACAAAGGAGACTCAGGCTTATAAGAACAATCTCCTCAAAGGTTACTTTTACAGACAACATTAAAAAATTCAAAAGGCGCCTCACTTTCTAGAGGGTATCCTAAGAAAACGTTTGGAGACAATCCTCTCAGAAATAAATCATCCTGACCGAAAAGTACCTCTTATACTTAAACACAGAACGCATCGAAAGCTCCTCCCCATTGCCAGTCTTGTTACGCAATTTCAACCATCATTACCATGTTTGAAAACATACTAATGGACAAATGGTAATTTTAAAACAAGAACAGCCATCAGAGAGCTGTTCAAAGAGCCTCCCTTGATCTCTTATAGAAATGAAAAATCCTTAAAGATATGCTTGTCAAAGCAAAACTATGAAGGCTGAAAAAAAAACAATAATCACACAGTAGGAGTCATGCACGTAGACTCAAACCCATTTTTACCATGTTCGTTTCAAAAGACTTGTGCTCCACCATTGAAAGTTCGGATCTCTTCGCGAAGACAACGCCTTACTGGTGCACTCCAAATCACCATGGTGGGTCGCCTGTTTCCAAAAGATAGTGCAGGCTGGACGCCTGGGAATGCGTAAAGAGGGATGAGCATAAAATGTTGAATAAATATAGCAACAGTGTTGGATAAAATTTTTGACCTTGAACGTGAATGAATGTATTCGTGAAAAAGGATTAAATCGTTCAATGTGAAGGAACATGGAATTCGTGAATTTCAGCACATTAACAAACTGTTGAATGAATATAGCAACAGTGTTGAATAAAAATTTTGACCTTGAATGTGAATGAAGATATGTTGCAACTGTAAATAAATATATTCGTAACTACTGAGAAATATGTCGTTGAATGTGAATTTGTATACATATTGAGTGACAACGTAGTTGTTGAATGTGAATGAATATATTCGTGAACAAGAATGAAACCATTAATGCACCATTTCGCTAACCATCGGTATGCCACCTTGATCTCATGATGGTGTTACGAGACTTGAGATGAGAGAAGTCATTGTCATCATCACGCTGTTGGGGAAATTTTATAGAAAAAACAAGGGGGAGACAGTGAAAACGGCGGGCGAAGATCTAAAAACTGAATTGACCAATGGCGTAGCGGCAAATTGAGCACCGGAAGTCGCGTTGATTATTCAGTTTCTAGCGCTTTTGCGTTCTCAAACGGCGTCGCGTTGTCTAAATCTGCCCATTACGCTAATCACGCGGAGTTGTCGCACAGTGCTCAAATAGATGTAGAAGATCTCGTATGTGTTTGTGAAAGACAAAATATACCAATAATCCGCAGTACATGTCAATTTGAGGAGAAAAAACAGGAAAGGTTTCTTCCGTGATAATAGTCAGTCAAATAACGAACCTGAGCGAATCTTCAACTAACATTACGGTAAGCAATCTGTTATTAACCTTTTGATGTGACGTTTTGCATTGTTTAAAGTAAGTTCCGACAAAATCCACATCATTGATTTGATTTATTGTTGTTGTTGTTGTTGTTGTTTTTGCCTTTTTTACGCATAAATAAAGGGGGGGAAACATAAAATTACACGTAATATACACATTTCGAAAGAAAAGAATATCAAAAAGCGAGTAAGTCTCATGGTGAGACTTCTTAACATTAGATTTGGTTCTTACTTTAGTTATTAATTAAATATATGCTTATATGAATAAAGAACGGCATATGATGAAGTAATGATTGTAAATTGTTTCATGTTTGTTCTGCAGGCAAGAGAACCGTATGACTAGGGATATCACCTTAGAATAATTATGTACGTATTTGACTTCCAGTTGAAATAAGTTTTGAAAATAGAGAGGTAACATTTTATGGTGGTACATGTACATGAAGGATCCGACTTGAAATGACTATAAATGTCAAAATTGCCAAATTTTTGAAAAAGGGGTTCGCTAGGGGCCCTGTAACCTGCAGCACAGATTGTTCAAACAGTTCTTTAATATTTCTGAAACAAGTAGATTCTGTTGAGGTTCGTAGGATATGTAGAACTCCATACTACGTTGCAATATGTAAGATATGGATAGAATAAGGAATAATACAGCGAGGGAAGCGATATTCTAGGTACATAAAACCTTGCTTTATACAACATTCCTATTGTTTTTGAAACTTTCGTGCAAGCGAAGTTAGTATGCGTTTTCCAAGCAAGATGCTTATCAATGTAAACACCTAAAAATTTGATGTGTTCTACTTCCTCAATAACTGTGTTATCAATTTTAAGGGGACTTGTCACTAATGGTTTCTTTTGTTTTGGTCTAAAAGGACAAAAATCATAACCTTGGTATAATTTTTCTCGTTTATCGACAGCTTGTTAGCTTTTAACCAAGTTACAACATGACAAATTTCCGATCAATTTGGATTTCTGGGTAACCGCCCACCTACCCCTCCCCTAAGCCAACATCATCACTTACTTCTCACTTAGGGCAAAATGTTGGCTTCGGGGAAGGATAAGTGGGCAGTTTCCCAGAAACCTAAATCGATCCCAAATTTCATGGTTTAAGTATTCTATAAGAGTTTTCCATAAGAGAGATCATATTTTTTAAATTTTTCGTGGTCGCAAAATGCTAACGAATTAATCCCTCTTAGCTTAAAGTTGAAGAAAATTAAATACAGCAAGAATCGGAGAGAAAATTGTAACTTAATATTTTTAGCCTGTGGCAAGTTGCGTTTTCGTGTCGACCTCATTTTCTTTTCAGTCCTCTTGCCTTAGTGCAATCGGCTGAATGAGGCACGTGAATCGGGTTGGTGTTGGACCAGTGCGAATGGCTTTAATGTATCAGTTACTCCTTTCATAAGCCTTTAGTGGTCTGTTCTGGTAAACTTCTCGCTTTCATAAAATACAATATTTCTGTCTTGTCTAAGTGTTATGGCAACCCACCAGTATTAATGCACCTATCAATGTAAATCCCGTGGAGGGGGGTGCGGGCAAGGGGCGGGGATTTGATGCCTGAGACTATCCCCCTGTCGGGCTTTTGATCGTGCGAAGCGACCCCGGGGTCGGGACATTTGACTTTGACCGACAGAAGCCTGGTATCAATTCAGAAGCGGTTACCAAGTCTGTCCCTCGAGGCTTTTTGAAAGTCACGCTGTCGTGAGAAAGGTATGAAGTTTTCATTTGTTTTAATCACCATAATCCGATACTTTAAACTGTCATCTAAACAGATAATGTCTATTTTGAGAAAGGTTTTATCTTCAAGTTCCCATCTGATTGTAAAACTCGATTGAAATCGAATTCCACCATGAAAGTCACAGGATTTTTTACTGGTCACTGATCCGACCTGTTCCGACATGTTGAGCAGATGTTATAAAGCATTTTACATTTCATTAATATTATAATAGCACAGTCAATCTTCCTGGAGTGATTTTGTTGTTCAAAATAGGAGATGCTAGTGGGGAGAGAAAATACTTAATTACAGCGAGTAATTTAACGGAGCTTACGTTAACCATAAATAAAAGTAGTAAGAACGTACTTTTGAATTATTCTTTTAATTTGTTTTATATAGTGTTATAGTATTGTTTGTTTAGATTTTTTCCCCTGGGGTGGGGGCTTTTTTGACACTTTTGATCGACCTTTCGTTTCCCACCCTTGGGAATTTGATCCAAAAATTTCAAAATTTGTCAAATTTGCCCGCACTCCGCCCCGACGGGGTTTACATTGATAGGTGCATAAAACGCCTATTGGAGTTACCCTAAACCCCAGACCTCTACCGTCTTTACACATGTGCCAAGATCCGAGCATGCCCATTACATTCTTAAACGAAAATGTTTAGAAAATGGCTTCAGCTAATCCAGATATTTTATATAAATTTGTGTCTATGAGAACGAAATGAACACGCTGTTTTGAAGAGGATAAGCCTGATATAGCAAAGACTGTTAGACACTTCTTTGGCCGACAGTTTTACAGAAAGCACAAGCATTCTACCTATGTGATCGGCGAACTGCCCGATGGAATATTCTTGTTCGTAAAACCTACCATGTACCAAAACCTTAAGAAGAAAATTTAAGAGCAAATTGAAGAGACGTTGCCTGACGTTCGGCCGACAACTGGTGCCACTGTTATAGAGGAAGAAAAATGGTTTTCAGATGAGCAGTCTTTTACTGAGTTTCTCGATGCTAAAAGAGAAGAACTTTATAAAAGTGTTGAAAGGTAAAGTAATATTGCAACTATTGAAGACTTATAGCAGGCCATATGACGTCGGCGACGATCGCACAAACATAAGCAAAACCATATAACTGGATTTGAAAACAAAACCATGCCACGTTCGTTATCGACCGCAAGTTTTCAGTTTTCTAAACGGTTTGTTGATCATAGAAATGACGTCAAAAATCAGGTTGTGAAAACCCACGGCAAAGTTATGAGCATTTGTTATGTTGTGTAATTTCTATTATCGTTAAAAGAGTAGACAAAGAAAAATACAGTCGATTCGTCTGGTACTTTTTTTCCTATAACAATACTGGAGTTTCTCGGAAACTGGGTCTCGGAAGCTGCTCCCCGTCGAGTTTCTCGGAAAACTAATTTTCCTCTCGTGTGACATTAAAAAATGGCGCCTTCATTGAACTATTTTTGAACAGATTGTCATGATACTCAGTTCAGAGTTTTTTTTAGCCATTGTATTTGTTACAGCCGGCAAATACTGGCGCGTCCGCTTATAATGCAGAAATTATGGCTTTTTTAATCATGAAATTTATACATGGCTGGGAAGCTGTGGGGAATAAATTAAACAAGAGAAATGAATTATTGATAACTGAATCTCAATGTGATTTCTTTTGTTTTATTCCTTCAACCTGGGTCAAAAATTCGAAACTGGCCAATACAAAAATGACCTCTTCAGCTTATCTACTTTGTTTTGCCAATGCAGGTCTCAAAAGAATGAGTTTGTTTGTTTTTCAGAGCCAAACACAAGCCTCATCCATTTTTGACTAGCCTGAATTTCAGACATCCCTTCGAGTCATATACCCTTCTCAGCAACGTAAACCGAAAACCGGGTAGTGATTTTGATTGGTTGATTGCTGAATGGAGTATTCCACTTGAGGAAAGGTCTGAAAATTAGGCTACATTTTTGAGTTTCATGGTCACAGAAAAGCAATGAATAGTTTGAAGAAATAATTTGTTAAGCGCTCAGGCGTGACTGCGTGACGAAGGAAAAGAAAGTTGTCTTTTTCACAGCCATAAACTGCGCCTGTTTGCCTTTTTATATAGGTCCTTTCAGAGACCGCAATGACAAATTTCCCTACCCTTTCAAATTTTTCAACTAATGAAATCCGTACCCTCTTATACTGACCCGAATCCCGAAAAAGATAGCCCTTTCGGGCGGAGCCTCCCAGTTTAGGTCATTATAGGGAGTACCCTATTCCATGGGCGTCGAACCCAATAATGCGCGGAATACATCGAGTATTTTGACTGTTATATTTTGCCTTTAGGGCTTTACAGTACCAAGTAAATTAAAATCAACTTAACATTTTATTATTCTTCTCAGGAGACAGCAGGAAGCAAATACAAGCTTAAGACGACTACGCAAGACCTTGAAAGCCAGTCCAGGAGCGAAGATTCTGGCATTTATAACCTGGTGGTTTTTGAAGGTGACCACAATGTCGTCCTTGAGATTGGCTACACTAGGACAACTTTACGAGACAAGCCATATCAAAAGCGAACGTTTCACTACATTATCAAAGAAAACCTCAGGTATATGTGCGAGTTTTAAACCGAAAAATGCATTTAATTATTTACATCACAAAAGGCGACACTTCAGCAGTTAAATTAAATGTTATTCATCACAACTTCCCTCTTGACTGGTTGTAGAGACTAATTTGCACTTCCGGTTATTTGAATCCTAGCTGGAAGGCGTCAACAAGCAGCTTGAGTAAGATTAAACGTTCAACGTAGTATCCGACGAAATCATTATCATCATCATCATCATCATCATCATTATTATATTTTGTATTTTAAAGTTACTTAGGCAAAAGAGTTGAGACCCTTACTGTTAATGACCACTAATTTTTGGTAGTGTGGGAATTTCTCTTGTTAGACCAAGTGAATAGCGTGTTTAACGTGAACAGCGTGTTTGCTTTTCCTAGGTTTCTTTTACTTTAAGGGCAGATAGAGGAAAGGGAACTAAAATTTTGGGGAATGATCATCATCATCATCATCATCATCATCATCATCATTATTATTATTATTATTATTATTATTATTATTATTATTATTATTGTTATATTTTTGTATTTTAAAGTCACTTAGGCAAAAGAGTTGAGACCCTTACTGTTAATTACCACTGATTTGTTTACGGTGAATGTTTCCGTAAAAATATAGTGATCAGTGTGAAGCTGAAGAACTCTGCAGTACTCCTGCAAATACCACCGCCTATTTTTAAATAGGCGGTGAGATTCATTAACTTGAATGTCTTTTTCTCTGACAGGTACGAAAACAAGGATAGGAATCGCTTCGAGTTTGGCACCTCTGAGCGCATGTCTCTCAAGGAAGCCGCTGCAAAAGTCCAGGAACAGATCGCGGCTGTTAATATCTTAGTCGCTCATGGCGGAGCACAGTATGCAAAGTTACTTAACGGCTGTGGGATTTCTGTGACAGGGAAGATTATGTTTGACACACAACTTCTAGCCATGGTTTTATTACAAGATCGACGACTGGACCTCAATAATCTAAAGAAACTGCTAGTAGAGTTGGAAATCCCATTTAATGAAAATGTTCGCCTTTACAATAGCGGAAATTATGCCTTCTTAAACACGGCTGTATTTCTGAAACTGAAAAACATCGCAACCTCGCGAAAGTAGCTCACTCAATTGTATCTTCAAATCGATTCTGAATAATTCCATGAGTAAAGGAAACCTTCTGTTTTCGTATTTTAGGTGGATTTGAATTCCTTCTATATTCTTTAAACTTTTTATGGGTCTTTCAGAGAGTTGCATTACTGTTATCAAGAGTGAGATATAAGTTTTCATGCGTTATTGTTGCTATGGTAACCTGCTACGCTAAGAAAAGTACAGAATTTTCCCACCAATGATTGGAATTTAGTTTACGGCATCCCAGAAACTGAACAAAATACGTCAAAGCTCTAGTATTACCTGTCACCCAAAAACTGGTTAAAAATACTATTGAGAGCCGTTAAGGATCATGTTCACCCTATCAACTTTGAGCGCCTCGTTGGCCTTCAAACAAGACTGAACTGCTGTTGAGACGTAAAGACATTTTGCAGTGGTACTCACTGTTTTCCAGATCTATCCTATCCCTTCTTCTTCTTCGGGTGTGACACGAATAAAATTTGCGTTTAAGAATTAGTGTAGTGATTTAGTTCCCTTTTCTGGGCGTAAGACCTTTGACTGAGAGCAACGGTTAAGGCCTTTGCTTGTTAATCAGCATTTTTATATTTGAAAGCAGTTAAGGCAGAGTTAGGCCCGGTTCAGACTCCGACAGGAGCCCATCAGATGATGGGCTCCTGACTCCGAACGTTTCATGAGCCGAATTTGAATTAAGGCTGACCCAAATTGTTAAGACCGGCTGAATTGATTCAGACGCCGATCTTAATTCGATATTCATTTCGGTCAAACTGCTTACAAAATAGGTCATAATAACTTATGCATCTGGTTCGGTACATGGAAAGGTCGGCGTCTGAATCAAAGCCGTTCCAAAGTTCATCCAAAGCAGGGACACCCAACGGCAATTTTCGGGAAAATATCTGTTCGGAAGACGATTTGAGACCTAGAATTTTCGGAGCATTTGTTGTAAAATTTCTTGCTTGCCTGCCTCTCCTAGGAGTTTCGAACATCTACAAAATGGTATAATTACCCATTTTTAACGGATTTTGACCCTAAAAAAGGCCACCTAGAATTTTCGGGAGCCTTTTCCTGGCTGAAATTTTCGAGAAGGTAAGTTTTTATCCCTGTAATTTTCGGATCACTCGACTTTCAGCTAGGAAATCCGAACAGATGAAAAGTTTTTAGGGGATAAAAATATGCCTATATCTACCGGTTGAATACTAAAATACGTTCAACAATGCTATGTTAAGTGGTTTTGAACTATATCCTCGTTGGGTGCTCCTGTCCAAAGGCGAAATTCCCGGTTGGGCTAGGCGGGAAGAACGGCTGAGCCGTTCCAAATTGAAACAGGCGTTCCTCTGAATTATTCAGACGCCGAACTTTTCATGTACTTAATTCAATGTGTTAGGTTCGGCTCATGAAAAGTTCGCCCGCGTCTGAAACGGGCCTAACATACGCGATGGCACTTACTCCAGAAATCACTTATAGTTTCCATTTGTTGATTTCTTTTATTTTGTTTTGTTTTGTTTTTTCTATTTCGTTTTTGTTTCTTTCTATTTTTCACGTTTATTTTGCCCGCACGTCACGTCTCTGGCATACAAGTAGCTACACCCCATCTCGGTGCCTGTCTCGTGATCAGTGTTGTTCGCAGGTTTTTCTTGGTCTCTTGACCTGTTTCTTTCCGTTACTAATCTGAGTAGTCAGGCTGTTAAAACGTTTTCCCCTCATGCAATGTACAATATCAGAAACCTGACGAGCTAAAAGTAGAAATAAGATGACTTGAAGGAAAAATTCCTTGGCTGTGCGATTCCAATACCGGGGTTTCTATACTCCAGTTTAAATGTCTTAAATATCCGAGTTCTTGGGGGTGGATCAAGAAAATTTAATAAGGGGTGGCCGGGATACAATTATTTCGCTGAGAATTTTTTTTAAAATAGTACGAAATATCACAGAAAAAGGTGGGGAGGGGGCAGCAGCGGTCCCCCCGTCCCCACCCCATAAATCCCCCGATACTCTTTAAAGAGTGACGACTACTGCGTTACACTGCCGGGTGTTATTTTTATGTCTACTTAATGTGAACAATTAGACGACCAAAGGCCTGTGCCTATTTGTTTGGAAGAAAATGTTTAAAATTCAAAATGTTGTCTTTACCATTTGATGACTTTGATGACATGCGGTTTTTCAAGGAGGTTAAAGATAACAAAACGAAAACTTAAAAATAAAATAAATTTTCTTTTGAATCTGAAACCGTAGGTTTCTTAAATTTCGAACTGTATAGATGTTGCGTCATATGTCATTTTTAAATAAACATTGATCCTTTTGTTTCCATATTTAGTTATTTCATATTATACAAACAAGCTCATACTGACATGTTGCTATCAGTTCAAGAGTGTTCCTCCATTCGTTTAGTGCAAATATCATCGAATGCGTTTATATGGCTTCAGGAAATTCAGACGTTCTGTATAAATACGAGTCCATGAGAATCAAATGGAGTCGATGTTTTGAGGAAGTCAGAAATGATCATGTGGCTGACTCGATCAAAACGTTCTTCCGCAACTTTCATAGAAATCACAGAGGTTTTACCTTCGTGGTTGGGGAGCTGTATGATGGGACAACTCATCTGTTTGTTAAGCAGTCTAAATATCGACAAATCAAGAATGAGATAGAGGAACGAGTTGATGAGACTTTGCCAGACGTCGCACAGTTCAGGGATGTTACAATTATAAAAAGAAGAATATCATTTCAAGGTTTTCAGTCGTATCGAGATTTTGACAGGGGCACCCAACGGCAATTTTCGGGAAAATATCTGTTCGGAAGACGATTTGAGATCTAGTATTTTCGGAGCATTTGTTGTAAAATTTCTTCCTTGCCTGCCTCTCCTAGGATTTTCGAACATCTACAAAATGGTATAATTACCCATTTTCAACGGACTTTGACCCTAAAAAAGGCCACCTAGAATTTTCGGGAGCCTTTTCCTGGCTGAAATTTTCGAGAAGGTAAGTTTTTATCCCTATAATTTTCGGATCACTAGACTTTTAGCTAGGAAATCCGAACAGATGAAAAGTTTTTAGGGGATAAAAACATGCCTATATCTACCGTTTGAATACTAAAATACGTTCAACAATGCTATGTTAAGTGGTTTTGAACTTTTTCCCCGTTGGGTGCCCCTCTTTTGACAACGTCCTTAGAGAAAAAAACCTGGAAGTGGAAAGAAGGTTCGTAAATTTTTGTGTAATTACATCCGGGGGTTAAGCAAACTGAGTCGGGGCTTGCTGGCAAAGGCTTTGTTGATGTAGAAAATTCTTGTCGTATATACGGCATCATGCTTTCTAGTCGCGACTTGTGTCATTGTAACATGATTTAAAACGTTCGTTCTGATAGCACTGTGGAACTGAGTTCACTACATTAGCTATTCTGAATATCCTTACAAATGTAACTTGCAAATTTTTGGGTTGTACACTGTTCCCTGTTGAAAAACAATGGAAGAAGAATATGTTACGGCAAGTCCTAATATAAAGGATATTTAGAAAATATTGGCATCTACTAACTGGTGACTGGTATCTATTACCTCATTTTCTATATTTGAATCAAAATACTATGAATTCAGTTTTTTTCCAGGCGTTGTAGTCAGTTAAAGGATTTTTCGTTTACGCTCTGTATAACCTTATTACAACGGTCCCGGCTGCGTTTAAGGTTGCTTTCGACTAGGAAATTTTGATGTAGATTTTGAAATCCGGATTTCGGATAGCTACTGTAGCTAAGGCTTGTCTGCTTCTAAACCGTTATTTTCTGATAATTTTTAGAAGATATGCAGACGCAAGAAAAAATGTAAGAAAACTACGCAGGACTCTAAGAGCAGATCCAAATGCCCTGATTTTGGCATTTGACCTGGAAGTTTACGAACATGACCACAGTATCATCTTGGAGATTGGCTACGCTATGACAACATTGAACAACCCGAAAAAGATGCAAACGTTCCACTACATCATTAAAGAAAATCTAAGGTATGTGAGGAGTTGGAACTGCTAAGAGGGAAATTGAAGGCCGACTAAAGCCTCATGAAAACCTTGAGACTTCTCAGGCTAAAGTTGACAATTACCATATCCTGTTGATTTAATTTACTAAAGATTTCACACTTGCACGTGCTGTATGCTAAGAAACGTATTTACCTCAGTGTATTCAAGATATGAACGTTTACTTCGGTTGGAAATAAAGGACTGCCTCTAGGTCAGCAGTGACGAGAGAAGATTAACAAATAAGGGATTACTGCTTATTGCGTTATGTTACAGAACCGAGCGAAGCGACGGCTTACAACTGAACGATTGGTCCTTTCTTGATTCTTTGGGATTTTACTACCTTCTCACTACCAATAACAATAACAATAATAATAATAATAATACTTAAATTATCTTCTCCCCTATGGGGCTTATCGCGGATAATCAGGGAACAAATAATTTTAAATGGAACATAAAAACATGGTCATAAATCCTAACGAGTAGGAGGGGAACCAGTTGGCTATTTTACAAGCTTGACCGAGGATTTTAACTCGGGACAACGGAGAACAAATCCAGCTAGCAGTCCAGCGAATTAACCGCTTGGCCAAGCTGCCTTCTACCAAAAACAGAGCAAGTATTGGTATTATTTTTCATAATTTTACAGGTACGCAAACAAAGATTTTGTGCCTGATAACAGGAAACAACAGCAAGTGGTAACGTTTGCGCATGCGTCAGTCTTTCTGGGAAGCACTTGTTGACCGGAAATCGTAATGGCCGAAAGCTGTCCTGAAGCACTTTCAAGGGAGATTTTTTTGCATACCCAGTCAATAGCAGACATGTGTTATAGATTGGATACTTTGGCTAAGCCATGTTGAAGTGTCATGTATGTGAGAAGGACCATTTAGCTGGTTAATTTTCATCCATTTGGCTCCTCTGATGAAGCAGATAAAGCGTTCACGAGGTCGTTTGTTGTGATGTGTTGATTTGTTGACATTCAAGCGGTCACGGATTTGTGGGTTATCGTCCATGATCTGCAGAGCTGCTTAGCATTTAGGTAAGATATACCCCTTCATTTACTTTGTGAAATGTGGAGCTGCATCATCGAATGTTATGTGTTAAAATTATAGCAGCCTGAATTCAACGCAATTTATGTGACCCCCGTATTTTTGTAGTATTTAACCATGACTGTACAGCGAAATCCAGTTATATATCCCACACAAGCGACTAAACAGGTTAAACGTCTCTTTCGGTCACTCCGTATTTTCACTTTTAATGGTTAATTCAAAGGGGGAAAGTTCGAGTATTTTGATACTATTTAGCGGCATGAAATCAACAAGCAAATTTCCTGCTCTTACAAGTAAGGCCGTAGTCGGATGTTTCCTTCCATTTTCGAAAATTTGCTTTTCTGGTTTACATTGGTGCTCTATGGCGATTACTTATTCTCGGAGATTAAGAGATCGAGGCAGTGGATCGTGAAATATTATTTGCTAAAACTTCGTTTAAGATAGACAAATTTTTCTTGTCCTTTTCAACCTTGTTTTCAGATTTTTCGTGAACATGTAAAACTATATCCCAACAAAACTTATTTGTAAAAGCATTGTTTCGGAACACTCTTTCATTCTTGAATGTTTGATTTTGCATCCAAGGGGGGGAACACTGATGAATTTGCGTTTTAATAATCATGCACTGTAAGCTCTAAGATTCATTGACAAGAACCCTCACCATTTTGGAAGATGATTATTCTATGATGATTTTGTTTATACATATAAAATTGGCGCCTAAAAGAATTTTAATGTTATGCTTAAAATGTTCACATAAAGTCTTGAAAACATAAAGTCTTGAAAACAAATCTAATCCAAGTGCATTATGGAAAACTCTAAACGACATAACATCTCGCAAAGAAAGAACTCCCATCTCCTGCATTGAGGCCGACGGTGTTCAATACTCCAGCAATAAATCTATCGCCAAGATTCTGAATGAACACTTTTCAACAATTGGAACTAAATTGGCGCAAAAGCTCAAGTCTTGTGGATCCCACATGTACTCGGCGCCTCCGGTAAACTCGAATCTACCCCATGAATTTGCTTTCGAGCCAATTACGGAAGACTTCGTTCTTCGTCAGCTTAAGCAGCTCAAAACCAATAAAGCCATTGGCCTCGACAATATCAGTGCCCGTCTACTCAAAGATTCAGCCTCAGTAATCAGTGCCAGTCTTACTAGATTATTTAATCTTTTCCTGGAAACTCGCACCTTTCCTTCTCTATGGAAATTTGGAAAAGTGGCAGCGTTATTCAAGAAAGGTGACCACTGTGATGCTAACAATTACAGACCCATTACTGTGCTGCCAATGATCAGTAAAATTCTAGAAAAAGCCGTGCACACCAAACTGTACGCTTATCTTAAGAACAATGGTATCCTGACATCTAAGCAATTTGGGTTCAGACCGAAGTTATCAACTTGAACAGCCTTAGCTCATTTCACAGACAATATCCTCCAGAATATGGACGCTGGTTCCTTTACAGGTGCTGTTTTTCTGGACCTGTCTAAGGCCCTCGATACAGTGGATCATCCCCTGCTGCTGCAAAATTGACGAACATCGGTCTTACCACCTCTACCACCCAGTGGTTTAGATCGTACCTCACAAACAGATCTCAAATTACATCAGTTGGAGATGCTCACTCTGCATCTACCGAAATGCCTATTGGAGTACCCCAAGGAAGTATATTGGGACCTTTATTGTTTTTAATTTACGTGAATGATCTTCGGACTGTCACCTGGCAAGCGATATTATTCTTTATGCAGACGATACTGTACTCTATTACTCATCCAAAAGCATCAGTGATCTTGAACATCACATCAATGCTGACTTGGGGACAGTGTCTGAGTGGTTCTCTAGAAATCTCCTGACACTAAATATATCCAAATGTAATTTTGTTATCTTTGGAAGTCCTCAGAAACTGAATCGTATTCAAGGCATTTCGGTTAAAGTAGAGGGCACTAGCATTGAAAGAACACAATCATTCAAATACCTAGGCGTAACGCTTCAACAGTCTATGTCCTGGGCAGATCACGTCGATGCTATCAGCATGAAGATTAATCAGAGAATAGGCCTAATTAGGAGAATCAGGAATCTATTGCCGCTACAAGCTAGAGTTGCCTTGTACAATGCCCTAATCCTCCTCTTTTTGATTACGGAGACGTTATATGGGGGACAAAAACAATGACACCATCATGTCAGAATTACAGATTCTACAGAATAAAGCTGCTAAAGTTATGCTGGGGCAACCACCCAAGCTCGTCAACTGAAGCACTGAAAAGTCTAGATTTGAAGTCACTGTCCACAAGAAGGTTTTTTCATCGCTGCATTGCAATCCACAAGTGTCTTATTGGAGAAACCGATTTCAGCTTTAATTTTACTAAAAGTCAAGCTGTTCATTCATATAATACAAGACGCTCTAATGATATTCGCTACCCCTACCCAGAACAAACTGGGGTAAACAAACTTTTTTTTTCACCACAAAAAGACTGGAACAGCCTTCCAAATGATTTAAAAGAGTGTAATATTTTATCTATTTTTAAATCCATGTTAAAAACTTTTTTAAAAGATCTCAGCTAATTTTAAACCTTGATGTTTTTTTTGTATTATCGATTTTAAGATTTAAAATTTTTAAATTTGTTTTACTTGTAAACATATTTTACTTTTTTCGTAATTATTAATTAATTAGTTAGATTAATGCATGAGGGCCCCACTGAAAACCGCCTTGGCGAGTTGGGCTCCCTCTATAAATATTATTATTATTATTTATTAAACATAACTGAAATCAATATAAAATATGAAAATACACATATGTGCATTATTTTCCCTGCCCTACTATAAAATATGATAAGTGTGATTTAATGCATTTTCATGTGACCATTATGATATTACTCCCACTTTGACACTAGCACAAGTTCAAGCGTAAAACAATTCTTTGCCTTGTTCAGCTTTGCACTTGCTGGACTGCCATTCCTGTTTGAAGCACAGACTACACTGGACATGAAATCTGTGAATTTGATTCCTTGCATTGGCATCCAGATAAGAATTAGCTCCATCAGATACAATGTATTTGTATGCTAACAAAAATCATAAAATATAATGTTATCATTCCTTTTCTATCCAAAAGATTTCTTTCCTTCTTGAATATAAATTCGTATCCATCACACTTTGGAAATTCTGAATATCTAAAGGGGTATCACTAGTTGTGTGCAACAACAAAATGCCATAGGAGTAACTTTCCACTGTCCACTAGAAATAACTCTTTTGATACTCTGGGTCTCATATATTCAATGTTTGTGCACATGAATTTAGGAGCACTTATGGCTTGCCAATGTCAGTTTGGCTGTGTATACACAGTAGTAGTGTATATAGTCATCTATCATAGACTGCACAAGTTGGAATTGATGCTCCTGGTGTTGCAAGATGACAAGTTATGGAAAATTTCATTTGCCTTTTGCCTGTTGCAGGATTTCCCTATGAGATGCTCAGCACAAAACCTTGTTGATTCAAGTGATCGTTATTGAGGACAACTGCATCGTCACATTCAAACCAGTTGCACTTTTCACTCAAGCCATAGCAGAGCTGGTACAAAATGGCGACTATCTGTTTTTTATTTAACCCTATGCTGTCTGCAGAATGTGAAGGGTCTGTCACTCCATCCTGAACTGCATCAAATAGCCTTGGTGCCCCAGAAGACACACAGACAAGCTTTAATTTTATTGAGTCATACATTGGCTCACTTGAAGCTATCAGGCTTTAAGATCCTTAAGTTCTCCACATGTTGAAATTGAATGAACAGGAAAAGTTAGAGCTAATTTTCTCTCATTTTCAATTTCTTAATCTTCAACTCATAAGACCTTGGCCCCAAATAGATATGGGTTAGTCAAGGGAGCTAAGCCTTATTAGTTATATATTAAATAATTAACACATCTGCAGTAAAAAATACCAACAACAAAATTTCTGAAAAGCAAAAATGAGTGCAAGCATGGAAGTACCAGAAGCAGAAAATTCACTTCAATATCTCAGGGAGAAAATGCAGTTTTAAATATGACTTTGATCTTTACTATTTTAAGTATTTTCACTGTTGTGTGCATATTTGCAGTTTTCTAGTATGTAGAAGTGTGGGGAGTAAAGGGAAGGATTTTTCATTGTTAGGGTTACCTCAATAAAACACATCTGTAATATGACACATCTTGTACCACTCTCCTCTCTTGGCTCATCTAATTCTTTATTTTAGAGGTATAAGGGCCATCTTGGATTCAAGAGCCTCCATATTACAAAATTCTGCCTACACCCCTGAATAAGTTAAGGCATCACATACATTTAATAGATGTCATTTCTAGAGTTTGGGTCTTTAGTTTTATATCATCTAGTCAAAAATGGAAAGATACAATTTCGTAGCCCTGGGTGGGATATCTTTGAAATTTTATCAGTCACAGAATCAGGGCACTGCACCTCGTCTGGACACTGGTGGTTAGGATAGGGTATCTCTGAAAATTAATCACTGGCAGAATCACTGCACTAAGGTTCTGGTTGCACATCTCTAAACAACAGGGCGTTCCTGAACCATAACTGACGTGGAATCGTATTATTGCAAGGAGATTGTCGCATAGCAGTTAGAATTTTTTTCACAGCGTTTTATTCAAATCTTAAGCGTCGGACGTTTTGTACTCGGTCACAACTTATATGAGATTTTTTCCCAGTTGCCCACACAGAACCCCATCAAAGCGTAAAATTGTGAATGATCTGCGACTTATTAGCCTTGAGACCAATCTCGCATATAGAACGGATGACTAAGACGATGGTAATTTTTAAAAGAGGCGCCATTTTTCTTTGCTGCGTTCGCTGCGATCCAATACCACCACAAACTTCCGTCCAGCGGCTCGCGCATACTCGCAACGTTACCACTTGCTGTTGATAACAGGGATCACTTCATATTTGGCACCTCAAAGCGCATGTCTCTTAGGAGAGCCGCTGCAAAAATCCAGGAGCACATTGCAGACGCTGATTTCTTAGTTACTCACTCTGGAGCACATGATACAGAGTTTCTAGACAGCTGTGGAGTCTCTATATCAGGGAAGCTCATGTTCGACACTCAGATCCTTGCTACAGCGTTACTTCCAGACGGACCACCGCTCTACAGTCTGAGGCGGTTGCTGGAAGACTTGGAAATTAAATTTGATGAAAAGATTCTCCATAATGGCGGAAATGATGCTGTCAATACTATGAAAGTATTTCTAACCTTGACGCAGCACGTACTTTGAAGAGCCCTACAAATTACCTGTGTAAAAGCTATATCTCCAGCAGTCACACTAGAAATTCCTTCACATAATTCGTTGACAAGAATTTCCATACCCGTCGATTGACTAAGTCAACGGTAAAATGATAAAAAATGGGTATTTAAGCACAGGGTGGGATACGTGACGGTATAAATTGAAAGATTGGAAATTTGTGGTTTGAAAGATGGGTTACGTGATTTTGTACAGTTTATTATTATTTTCTTTCATTACGCCCTTTTTTCACAAGAATGTATTCGATAAAAAATCGAAAATTGCGAAATTTTAAGAATATCAGTTGTAAGAATAAACCCGAGGCTGGTTGAAAAGGATATAATTTTGAGTGTTGAAAATCTGAATTATGTGTTGGGCAAAATTCGCAAATTTCATATTCCTTCATATTGAACGATTTAATTCTTTTTTACCAATATATTCATTCACATTCAACACAGCTGATATATTCATTCAGCATTTTGTGCGCATCCCTTTTTACGCGTCAGTGATTGAATCCCAGGCTCCTTCCTTTGGACTCTTATCTTCTGGAAACACGTGTTTTTAAAGACACCAAAATACCAAACGTATTTCTTGTCTCAATGGACGTCACCAGAGCTCCTGACGTCACTACCTATACACACCGGGGGGATACTCAAAAATGTTTTATAAGGGGAGGCTCCGCCCCGAGGTCCAACATCTTACCCTTTTCTATTGAAGAATGATACCCTTTTCACATACCTAGTTTAGAACTTTACACCCCCCGTTTAACTGTTGTAAATGCACTGTCTTTAAGATATAGATAAGTCACAAAAAACGTTTTTCTGACTTCTTCACAGCCATAAAATGATCGGTAAGCCGTTTTGGGTAGTTGCGCACACCGAAATGACAGATTTCCCCACCCTTTTATATACTTCAACTAGTAGGGTGGCCAAAGAACAAGAAAATTTACGATATAGTAAAATCACTACTCTTTCATATACCTGAAGCCTGAAAAAGATACCCCTTTAGAGCGGAGCCTCCCCGTATAGGCCATTATAAGGAGGAGTACCCCCCACGGAAAATACATACATACATTCCACAAGAGGAGCGAATTTAGTATGTCAAACATACGAAGAGTTTCATGAAAGAAATCCTTATATTTGTGGCCAAACTAGAAAAGAAGATCCTGAGGCAAATTACTAACACACTGTTAATATGGAAAAGGTTTATTGAAGATATATTATGTTTGTTGGACGCAAATGAAGAAAGTTTAGACCTTTTCGTTAACAGCCTACTATCACGTGTACTGCTGAAATTTCACAAATTAAAATAACGTTATTAAAAAAAGTTTCCCGTTGTGTCTGCACACTTCAAAAGACTACTGAAGCCTTTCAGTACACTCACTTCCACAGCTGTCACGTACAGCTGTCACGTTGAAACCAGAGCTGTCAAAAAGGCTTTGACAAAGGAGACTCAGGCTTATAAGAACAATCTCCTCAAAGGTTACTTTTACAGACAACATTAAAAAATTCAAAAGGCGCCTCACTTTCTAGAGGGTATCCTAAGAAAACGTTTGGAGACAATCCTCTCAGAAATAAATCATCCTGACCGAAAAGTACCTCTTATACTTAAACACAGAACGCATCGAAAGCTCCTCCCCATTGCCAGTCTTGTTACGCAATTTCAACCATCATTACCATGTTTGAAAACATACTAATAGACAAATGGTAATTTTAAAACAAGAACAGCCATCAGAGAGCTGTTCAAAGAGCCTCCCTTGATCTCTTATAGAAATGAAAAATCCTTAAAGATATGCTTGTCAAAGCAAAACTATGAAGGCTGAAAAAAAAAACAATAATCACACAGTAGGAGTCATGCACGTAGACTCAAACCCATTTTTACCATGTTCGTTTCAAAAGACTTGTGCTCCACCATTGAAAGTTCGGATCTCTTCGCGAAGACAACGCCTTACTGGTGCACTCCAAATCACCATGGTGGGTCGCCTGTTTCCAAAAGATAGTGCAGGCTGAACGCCTGGGAATGCGTAAAGAGGGATGAGCATAAAATGTTGAATAAATATAGCAACAGTGTTGAATAAAATTTTTGACCTTGAACGTGAATGAATGTATTCGTGAAAAAGGATTAAATCGTTCAATGTGAAGGAACATGGAATTCGTGAATTTCAGCACATTAACAAACTGTTGAATGAATATAGCAACAGTGCTGAATAAAAATTTTGACCTTGAATGTGAATGAAGATATGTTGCAACTGTAAATAAATATATTCGTAACTACTGAGAAATATGCCGTTGAACGTGAATTTGTGTATGATGTTGAATGACAACGTAGTTGTTGAATGTGAATGAATATATTCGTGAACAAGAATGAAACCAAAAGGTTGAGTTTGATCGTCCGGGTAAACGTAGTCCTGAATAGGACTGTTGTTTTTGACTGTGACTGACGTTTAGACAACCTGTGCGGTAGTCATCTTCAGAGTCAAAGTGAGTTGTGTCACGTCAGTTGATGGTATTATACTCTGGTTATTGACCTGATTGGTCAATGAAACCATTAATGCACCATTTCGCTAACCATTGTATGCCACCATGATCACATGATGGTGTTACGAGACTTCGAGATGTGAGAAGTCATTGTCATCATCACGCTGTTGGGGAAATTTTATAGCAAAAACAAGGTGGTGACAGTGAAAACGGCGGGCGAAGATCTACAAACCTAATAGACCAATGGCGTAGCGGCAAATTGAGCACCGGAAGTCGCGTTCATTATTCAGTTTCTCGCGCTTTTGCGTTCTCATTCGGCGTCGCGTTGTCTAAATCTGCCCATTACGCTAATCACGCGGAGTTGTCGCACAGTGCTCAAATAGATGTAGAAGATCTCGTATGTGTTTGTGAAAGGCAAAATATACGAATGATCCGCAGTACATGTCAACTTGAGGAGAAAAAACACGAAAGGTTTCTTCCGTGATAATACGTCAGTCAAATGACGAACCTGAGCGAATCTTCAATTAACATTACGGTAAGCAATCTCTTATTAACCTTTTGATGTGAAGTTTTGCATTGTTTAAAGTGAGTTCCGACAAAATCCACATCATTGATTTGATTTATTGTTGTTGTTGTTGTTGTTGTTGTTGTTGTTGTTTTTGCGTTTTTTACGCATAAATAAAGGGGGAAAAACATAAAATTACACGTAATATACACATTTCGAAAGAAAAGATTATCAAAAAGCGAGCAAGTCTCAAGAAGCTGAAGGCTTATGGTGAGACTTCTTTACATTAGATTTGGTTGTTACTTTAGTTATTGATTAAATATATACTTATATAAATAAAGAACTGCATATGAAGAAGTAATGATTGTAAATTGTTTCATGTTTGTTCTGCAGGCATGAGAACCGTATGACTAGGGATATCACAGTAGAATAATTATGTATTTGACTTCCAGTTGAAATAAGTTTTGAAAAGAGAGAGGTAACATTTTATGGTGATACATGTACAAGAAGGATCCGACTTGAAATGACTATAAATGTCAAAAATGCCAAGTTTTTGAAAAAGGGGTTTGCTAGGGGCCCTGTAACCTGCAGCACAGATTGTTCAAACAGTTCTTTAATAATTCGGAAACAAATAGATTTTGTTAAGATTAAGGTTCGTAGGATATGTAGAACTCCATACTACGTTGCAATATGTAAGATATGGATAGAATATGTACATAAAACCTTGCTTTATACAACATTCCTATTGTTTTTTAAACTTTCGTGCAAGCAACGTTAATATGCGTTTTCCAAGCAAGATGCTGATCAATGTAAACACCTAAAAATCTAATGTGTTCTACTTCCTCAATAACTGTGTTATCAGTGTTCAGGGGACTTGTCACGAATGGTTTCTTTTGTTTTGGTCTAAACAGAGAGAAATCATGACCTTGGTATTTTTCTTGTTTATCGACAGCTTGTTAGCTTTTAACCAAGTTGCAACATGACAAATTTCGGATCAATCCTCCTACCCCTCCCCTAAGCCAACATCATCACTTACTTCTCACTTGGGGCAAAATGTTGGCTTAGGGGAGGGGTAGGTGGTCAGTTTCCCAGAAACCTAAATTGATCCCAAATTTCCATAAGAGTTTTCCATAAGAGAGATCATATCAAAGCCGGGTAATCTTTTAAATTTTTCGTGGTTGCAAAATGCTAACGAATTAATCCCTCTTAGCTTAAAGTTGAGGAAAATTAAATAAAGCAAGAATCGAAGAGAAAAATGTAACTTAATATTTTTAGCTTGTGGCAAGTTGCGTTTTCGTGTCAACCTCATTCATTTCCTCTTGCCTTAGTGCAATCGGCTGAATCGCGGTGGTGTTTGGGGATGGGAATGGGTTTATCGTATTAGTTACTCCTTTTTATAAGCCTTTAGCGGCCTGTTCTGGTAAACTTCTCGCTTTCATAAAGTACAATATTTCTGTCTTTGTCTGAGTGTTATTGCAACCCACCAACCCACCAGCAAACGCCTATTGGAGTTACCCTAAACCCAGACCTCAACCGTCTTTACACATGTACCAAGATCTGAGTGTGCCCATTGCATTCTTAAAAGAATTAAGGTTTTGAGAATTTCATTTAGCAATGGCTTCAGCTAATCCAGATATTTTGTATAAATTTGAGTCTATGAGAACGAAATGGAGACGCTGTTTTGAAGAAGATAAGCCTGATATAGCAAAGACTGTTAGACACTTCTTTGGCCGACAGTTTTACAGAAAGCACAAGCATTCTACCTATGTGATCGGCGAACTGCCCGAGGGAATATTCCGTTTAAAACCTACCATGTACCAAAACCTTAAGAAGAAAATTGAAGAGCAAATTGAAGAGACGTTGCCTGACGTTCGACCGACAGCTGGTGCCACACTCCTATGCCACAGTTATACAGAACGAAAAATGGTTTCCAGATGAGCAGTCGTTTAGAGAGTTTCTCGATGCTAGAAAAGAAGAACATTATAAAAGTGTTCAAAGGTAAAATAATATTTACAGCAATAAAAGACTTAGAGCAGCCCATATGACGTCGGCGGGCGGGTGATCACACAAACATAAAACTTGATGACAAAACCAATAATTGCCACTTCCTTTACGCTATATCGACTGCAAGGTTTCAGTTTTCTACACGGCTTCTTGATCAAAGAAATGACGTCAAAAATCAAGTTATAAAAACCCACGGCAAAGTTATGAACATTTATTGTGTCATTTCTATAATCGTTAAAAGCGTAGACAAAGAAAAGTGTAGTCGATTCGTCTGGTATTTTTACAATGATACTGGTAGGAGTTTCTCGGAAACTGGGTCGCGGTAGCTGCTCTCGACCGAGTTTCCCGGAAAACTGATTTTCCTCCCGTGTGACATAAAATCAAAGGGTGTCTATGGCTACTTGCGTCGATTAATAATCGTAGAAATGAAAGCTGATAATAAACTTGCAATTAGTCTACCGGTATATTTAAAGTCTGTCAGAAAATGAAAATATGTTTTAAGAAAAAAAAAAAGACCAAAAAAACAGGAAAAGGAAAGTTTCCTATGGCGGGAGTCGAATCTCCGTCCGACGTCGTGCAAGGTCAATGAGTTACCTATTGCCCCATGACAACTAATGTTAAACAGAGATGTTGAATAATTATCTTTATCACTTTTGCCCATGAAATTCTTTCGGTGGACAGGGGCGGGGGTGGGGGAAGGTACTCCCAATAATGGCCTACTGGGAGAGGCTCCGCTTTAAAGCGGTACCTTTGTCAGGCTTTTGGTATATGAAAGGGTAGGGATTTTACTATATCGTAAATTTTCTTGTTCTTTGGCTACCCTGCTAGTTGAAGTATATAAAAGGGTGGGGAATCTGTCATTTGGATCTGTGAAAGGGCCCAAAGGGCCGAACAGATGAGTTTTAAGGCTTTAAGGTTAGAGCCTTATTTCTGAAGAATTGAAAGATATATTCGAGGAAAACGAGCATGGTTTTGTCGGTAAAAGCGGTACTTATCTCATTTTGTCGCATTTGAAGAACATATGTCCCACAAAGCGATATTAAGTGTCTCGCTAAACCGTCGCGAAGTCTCTTGCTGACGGCGTTGTACAGCGTGCAATTCTCTGCGTCAACCTGAGGAGACCAATTGCGATTCAGCCGCAGTAAACATTTCCTTTTTTATTCAACCGAAGAAACATTTCATTTCAGAATGATATTCCCCTTAAACCCATGAGATTGGGAGTCTTGTTGTGAGAAAAGTTAAACAAGCCATGCGTTGTCACAGCTTTCTAAGCGGAAGCTGTGTTGTGATTCGCTTGAAATACTATCCATCCTGATTGGCTAATTAGTTCGAACTTCCGGTTATGAGTGAGTGACAAATTTGCATAAAGATTGCCCACGAGTACAAATGGCGCCTTCATTGAACTATATTGATCAGATTGTCATGATACTCAGTTCAGTTTAGAGTTTTGTTGTTGATGGTATTTGCTACATCCAATAATAGCACGTCCGCTCATAATGTAGAAATCATGGCTTTTGTTAATCAGGAAATTTATACATGGCTCGGAAGCTGAGCGATCAAACGAAAAATTAAACGAAAGAAATGAATTATTGACAACTGAATCTTAATGTGATTTATGGCTCAAAAATTCGAAACTGGCCAAGACAAAAAAATATATACGTCTTCAGCTTATCTGCTTTGTTTTGCCAATATAGGTCTCAAAGGAATGAGTTTGTTTCTTTCAAGAGCCAAACCACGCGCGAGCCAACCCCAACTGTTCAGTTTTTGAGTAGCCTGAATTTTAGACATTCCTTTGTGTCATATATTCCTCTCAGCAATGTCTGAATCGACCAACCGTTTATGCCGTCCAATGACGTCACCATGCAAAAACCGGGTAGTAATTTTGATTGGTTTATTGTTGAGAGGAGTATTCGACTCGAGGGAATGTCTGAAATTCAGGCTACAATGTTTAGTTTAATTCATGGCCACAGCAAAGCAATTAACAGTTTGTAGAAATAATTTGTTACGCGCTCAGGCGTGACTGCGTGACGAAGGAAAAGTGAAGGAAAAGAAAGTTTTCATTTTCACAGCCATAAACTGCGCCTGTTTGTCCTTTTAGGTCCTTTCAGAGACCGCAATGACACATTTTCCCTACCCTTTCAAATTCTTCAACTAGTGAAATACCTACCATCTGATATACCTGAATCCTGAAAAAGATACTCCTTTCGGGCGGAGCCTCCCAGTTTAAGCCATTATAGGGAGTACCCCCCTTCCTCGGGCGCCGAACCCAATAATGAGCGGAATGCATCGAGTATTTGACGGTTATATTTTGCCTTTAGGGCTTTACAATACGAAGTAAATTAAAATTGACTTAACATTTTATTATGTTTGTCTCAGGAGACAGCAAATACAAGCTTAAGACGACTACGCAAGACCTTGAAAGCCAGTCCAGGAGCGAAGATTCTGGCATTTATAACCTGGTGGTTTTTGAAGGTGACCACAATGTCGTCCTTGAGATCGGCTACACTAGGACAACTTTGCGAGGCAAGCCACGTCAGAAGCGAACGTTTCACTACATTATCAAAGAAAACCTCAGGTATATGTGCGAGTTTTAAACTGAAAAAATGCATTTATCAATTATTATGTTATTTTTGACCTCATAACTTCACTCTTAACTGGTTGTAGAAATTAATTTGTGTTTCCCGTTATGTGAATCCTGGAAGGCCTCAACAGGCAGCTTGAGTAAGATTAAACGTTCAACGTAGTATCCGACGGAATACTGAAAATAATGAAAATTTGATTTTACCTCTTATTTTCATTTTCAGTCGTGAGACAAGATGGATTTAAAAATTTTAGCTATAAAACAGGGAACAAGGAGGCAACGTGGCCGAGCGGTTAGAGCGCTGGACTTTTATTCCGGGGGGCCCTATTTGTTCTTGGTAGGCTGGATTTTTTCTCGGTAGTCCCGAGTTCAAATCCTCCGGACCAAGCTTGTAAAATAGCCAGCTGGCTTGCCTCCTACCATTTGGGATTCTTAAAACCATGTTATGTTCCATTTAAATTATTTGTTTCATTTTCGCTGAAGAGCCTTATAAGGGGAGAGGATAATTAAGTATTTATTGATTGATTGATTTTTCTGATTTTTTTATAGTCATTTAGGCAAAATAACAAACCCGATAAAGACCATTACAGTTAATTACCACTAATTTTTTTACTGTAAATGATAAGAGTGAAGGGAAGAACTGCGTATAAAGAATTGTGTGCTCCAGATGGGAATTTTGAGCCCAGGACCCTTCGTATAATAGTCGGAGGGCTCTAACTCCAGAGTTACTGGCAACTTAGTAGTCAACGGTCGTCAACTACTTGACACCGCCTCGGCCTACGGCCTCGACGGATAACACCCTCCGAGATCCCATAATTCTTCACATGATACGAAAGCCGAATTCATTAATTGTCAAATAACAAATGTGCACTCTCATAGCCATCTCTATAAGATAAAGTACGGCCAATGAACAGTACTCCTGTAAATACCACAACAGATTCAATTCATGAACTTGAATGTCTTTGACAGGTACAAAAACAAGGATAGGAATCGCTTCGAGTTTGGCACATCTGAGCGCATGTCTCTCAAGGAAGCCGCTGCAAAAGTTCAGGAGCAGATCGCGGCTGTAGACATCTTAGTTACACATGGCGGAGCACAGGATGCAGAATTGCTTGAGTGCTGTGGGATTTCAGTGACAGAGAAGATCATGTTTGACACGCAACTTCTAGCCATGGTTTTAATACAAGATCGACGACTGGACCTCAATAATCTAAAGCAATTGCTGGTCGAGTTGGAAATCCCATTTGATGAAAATGTTCGCCTTTACAACAGCGGAAATTATGCCTACATGAACGCGGCTGTATTTCTGAAACTAAAACACATCGCAATCTCGCGAAAGTAGCTCACCCATTTGTATCTTCAATCTAAACCAGACAGAGTCAGAAGAATCGATTCTGAACAATTCTATGAGTATTTATCCTTTAGCGTACAAATACGTCAAAGTTCGATCCAAAGTTTGGCCTGTAACCCAAAGGTTAAAAATACTATTGACAGTGTCAAGGGTCATCATGACTTCACTCAATCAACTTTGAACTGCTGTCATTTATTCATTTATTTTGCCATTAACCACGTAAGAATACATCAACAATATACAAGAAAATTATAATATATTAGAGATAATAGACACTGTTCTAAGTAAATTATTTTACAAATGTTCATAATGGTTATGACAAGGAAGCCTATACAGAAGCCGTGGGTCTCATAGGCTTCCTGGCAGTATAGGGTACGCCATGTGAGTTAATGGTACTAAATGAAAAATGGATTATTTTTAACATTAAAGAAAGAAACGAAAAAGAAAAGTATGTAGCTCAACAAAGAGTATATTTGACTTAGAAAGAAGGAATTTTTTAAGTGGTGTGCCAAACAAACTGATACTTTTACCGTTTTGAATTTCGCGACTTAGCGAGTTGAAAAACGTAGGACCTTGAAACCGAATTGAGAATTTTCGAAAATTAGTTCGATAATAAGGTATAAACAAAAGGCTGGAATTTCTTGTATTATGTGGGCTTGCAAGAGTAAACATATCACGAAAATAATTAGGAACTAAACCTCTTTCAAAAAGATATTTAAATTACCTATTTGGTATACCTATTTGAGAAGCAGTAGAATCCCTCTGCGAGGTGTTATGTATCTGGTGACTTTTAAAATTTTATTGACAGTCTGAGTGTAATGTGAAGAAACAGAGACTTGGTGACTTGAACCGCCCCTCTTCGGGGGTTTAAACGGGTTGAGAGTGTAGAGATTAAAAATTCAGATGGGAAAGAATTAACATTCCTGAACATAAAAGATCGTACAGCCATTTGAGGTGAAACAAATTTAAGCAAACAGAAGGTTGGTCAACTATCTGTCTTGAGACGTTATTTGTTTGTTCTTTTTTTTTTCTCATTCATGATAATATTTTTAAATACTGTTAAAACAATAGGCCACGGCATTTTCAAAATAACAAATAGGGCAGTAAAGCTGATACTTCTTAGAAGAATAAGCTTTGCAATACATAAACATAAACCGAAGGAAGAGAAGCATTGCAGCACTGCAAGACTAGCCTGCGTAGCAAGCGTTTCCAATCGAGTTATTGTGCGAAAGTTAGAGCGGAAGCAAAAAAAAGGTTGAAGGGGGAGGGGGAGGGGAGAAGAGGAAACGCTTGCCCGCAAACCCCACGATTCTGGAAAACGCCCCTTGATATTTCACGGTTCGGTTCATTTGTAAATTGACAGCTCGTCAAAATAGAAACATAACGAACAGCGGATCACCAGATTTGTAAAATTACTTTGTTCTCTAATAGAGCATGTTGCGGGCGATTGCAAGAAATGTAATAAAAAATGTTTACGTTAAAAGAAATTTAAAACTATAAGCGATTGCTGCGGAATTTCTTGTTTTTTATTGTGTGGCTTTATCTCGTCTGAAACCTTGTCGACACGTCAAAAATGATTTGTCCGGAACAATTCACTCCGCCGGGTATAAGTTTTGCAGAGCGGCTGCTCTTCAGCCTGTGTTGAAACGTTCTCTACAATAGATGCGGCTAAATTTCCAATAAACAAAAAGAATCTTTTCATTTCAAAAAGCTGACAAATCACTTGCCCATGGCGGCTTTAGCTAGTGTCGAGTACCGATGTTCTGATTTATGTTGATGTTATGTCCAACAAACAATCCATTTTTTCCAGTCAGATCCGCACGCCATCATTCCCAATAAATTGGCCTTCCCTAGTCTCCACTGCTCGATCTCCAATTATACTTTGAAGACTCTGATCTCATAAACCTTCGCACAAACACGATTCCAATAAATATCAGTCCAAAACATTTGTAATCTGCGAGCACAAATCAGATGAGACCAGATCTGCACGAAAACAAAGCATACCTGGTTTGATTGATGTTTCGAATGCTAAGTAATCAACACTACCCGCACCGCGCCGATCAGAAGCCGCGTTCGTGGGCGAACGCAGTTTTTCAAAATCGTGGGGTTTGCGGGCAAGCGGTTCCTTCGTTCCCCTCCCCCTCCCCCTCCCCCGTCATTCATTTTTTTTTGCTCTTGTCCCAGCTTTCTAGACGAACCTCGCGAGGAAACGCTTGCTACGCAGGCTACTGCAAGACAGCTGTTTCGTCCTCGTTTGATGTCATCAGTTACCCGCAATACCTGGCGGGAAAATGCCATTCCAGATTCTTTGCTGAAGGATGGCTATTTAAGCTTGGACGAAACAAAATCGCGATAATCAAATGCCTCAGAAAGGTCGCTTAAGATCGTTTACGAGAGGTTCTGATTACAGAGATTTGACTGGGAAAATTTTGGTGTTTTTGGTGTTTTGAGGTGGTCGCCTACGAGAGGCGGTCGTACGTGGAGGTTTGGCTGTATTTTCTTGCTGATTAGATCTCTTATCAGGATCCGATGAAATAACATAACGTGAACTTTATGGTCCCTCGAAATTAAACTTTAGTTGGGTTCGCCTACATTTGACAACGTAAGTAAAATACTTGTCTAAAGCTCTTTAAAGTTCAAATCTCTCGATCAACATAAATTTTAAGTTAGTCAGAAACCGTGCTTCAAAGGGCAAATGACCTACAATCAGCCTTACACCCTTGTTCAATGAGCCATTTGTACCATGAAGATCTAATAGTTCTTTTTCCTTTTTTTAGTTACATTTTCTTTCTTTTTGTTTTGTTTCTTTTACATTCTTAAAATATAATTTTAATGTTTCAGCACAAAAGCACTAATTTTTAAGGTGGCCCGAGCCTACTAACCTGGGTTGGTTATGCTGTTGAATCGAGTTTTTTAGCAGGAGCAATTTAACCGATTTCTATAATTTTTAGCACCCTTAATGAAAAATAATGGAACTTTAGGAAGATATTATTTATTTACTTGTCAGTAGAAAAACGTTTGAGATATCGGAGTATACTTAAAACCGCATTTTTACAAAAAATAATCCTCTGAGAGGACATGAGTTTACTTGCAATGAATAGTCTGTGCAAAAAAAAGCTCCTTCATGCCGAAACTTCCTGTTAAGCTCAGGAATTCTTACTTTCTCTTCAAAGCTGTTCATTCATCCCAACTACTGACAAACCAACACCTGTTTACAATAACTCAGCCAACCTAATTGATAATATTCTAACAAACAAAGTTGATGTTGAAATTACCAGTGGGAATATTATCTCTGACATAAGTGATCACTATTCACAATTCTGTATTTCTCACAATTTTATTCAGGGGCCAAAACCCGGAAAGCAAAAACGCAGAGACTTTTCTGGTTATTCCAGGAGCAAGTTCAACTCTGAACTCTCTGATGCTTTGGTAAGCCAAACTAACTTTAGCGATCAGTTTGATGTCGATACAGCTTTTTCTTACTTTTACAATACACTATTGGCACTCGTGGACAAACATGCCTCTTTAAAGACTGTTTCGAATCGCAAGCTTAAGCAGTTCTCTAAACCATGGATAACGAGTGGCCTTAAAGAAGGTCTTTGATACCGCCGACCATTTAATCTTGCTTCAAAAACTTAATCATTATGGCATCAGAGGAATTATCAATGCCTGGTTTGCCTTGTACCTTCTCGATCGTTCACAAGTAACTGAAGTGGGTTTAACTTATCTACCGAATGTATGATCTCATGTGGTGTCCCCCAGGGGTCTGTGCTTAATCCTCTGTTATTCTTAATCTATATTAATGATATTCACAACTCTTCAGTGAAATTGTCATTATATCTCTTTGCCGATGACACGAGCTTGTTGTATGCTGACACTAATTTGAAATCTCTTGAAAAAACCGTCAATAGCGAACTGATCAAAGTCTCCGACTGGCTCAATGCAAATAGGTTAACGCTCAATGCTAAAAAGTCAAACTATGTCATCTTTCGTCCATATCAACGTAAGTTGAACTACTTGGTTAACATTGAAATGATTGATAACTGTACTCAAATTCCTACCACGCTTCAGAGCGAAGACCATGTTAAATATCTTGTCGTCCTATTGGACAGCAATTTAAGCTGGAAATTTCAAATTAATAATGTTGCGTTAAAAATAAGCATAACTGTTGGTGTTGTTGCCCGTCTTGGGCACTTCGTCCCACGTACAACCCTTAAAAGTATTTATCAATCATATCTGTTCGGAAGGCGATTTAAGATCTAGAATTTTCGGAACATTTGTTGTTAAATTTCTTGCTTGCCTGCCTCTCCTTGGATTCTCGAACCGTCCAAAAATGGTAAAATTGCTCATTTTTAACAGATTTTTACCCTAAAAAGGTCACTTAGAATTTTCGGGAGCCTTTTTTCAGGCTGAAATTTTCGAAAAGGTAAGTTTTGATCCCTATAATTTTCGGATCACTAGACTTTCAGCTAGGAAATCCGAACAGATGAAAAATTTTTAGGGAATAAAAATATGCCTATATCTACTTTTTGAATACTAAAAAACGTCCAACAACGCTATGTTTAAGTGGTTTTGAACTATATTCTCGTTGGGTGCCCCTGAACCCATTTACAAAAAATTCTCGTGCTTCAAAAACGAGTCCTTCGTTTGATGTATTTTTCTGAACCTAAAGCCCATGCTATGCCTTCATTTGTTTCCTCAAAAATTCTACCCTTACAAATGTTATATCCTGAAAAAGTATCTTGTATAATGTTTGACGTCTCCTGCATGAATGCTCCTTCTAACATATGTGATTTCTTCACTAAAGCTAATTCAAAGCAGAAGCATGAGACCAGGTTTTCTTCATCTGGAAATTATTATGTCCAAACTTCAAGACTGAATCTAAATCAAGATTCTTTTTCCAGGTTTGGAGCTAAACTTTGGAACGCAATTCCTAACGACTTTCGTCAACTCTCCAAAGGAGCTTTTAAAAATAATTTTAAGGACTTTTTGCTCTCGATTATGGAAGCAGAGGACGATTATGTTGAAGTGTCCATTCTCCTACAAAAAATGGCAAATTCTGCATCCTCGACTCAATGTACTAATAATCGATAGGTTCTGTTAATAGTAAATTTGACTGTAATATCATTCTGTAAGACTATATATTTTGTAACTTTAGCTTGTTTTTCTGTAATTCTTATTTATCCACATAGTTTATTTAGTTACTTTACAATATCATCTGTTATGACTGCTGTAACCTTTCCTCTCCGCCTGCCTCGTCTAGCTTTTGCTATTTGCGAGCGGAGATGGCAAAATGATGTGTATGAAATAAAGTAAAGTGTGTGTGTGTAAAAAGAGCAATGACGAGTACCTGTAGTCCGGAGGATAAACTTTAACGCCTTATGATACGAAGACAAATATTTTCCAAAGAGAAAACTGAAATTATCTAATACAGAAAAAACCTGCGACTTAGAAACTGTTTTTTAAGAACCTGCTGTGCTAAAATTAGCCAGTTAGACCCTCTCTATACAAAAGCCTTTTTAGCATAAAATTTAAAACAGGTTTTATTTTCTAAAATCTATCAAGAACCTTTTAAAAGGAAAAACTGAGTAACTTTCTCGTTGTCCACTCCTCCCAAAATCGCATCCGCGGTATGAATATTGAGAGTTTCAGTTGAGTACGTGAAACTTCCTATTTCCACTTTGGTGAGATGACAGCCGGTTGTGACTAGTGAGTTATGAGCTAAATTGATTTAGCGCGATCTTTCACAGATCTTGGAGGCAACGGCCGAAGGTTGATTTTCACTAACGCGTTTATGGCTACGCAAGTTAACGCACGTAAATTTTAACGACGTAAATAAAGTAGAGGCGAGATATTTAGTGTTGAGGCTAAACATGAAGTTGAGCGAGGTTCTACTGGCTTACGTGCGACCTTTCATGCGTTGCCTCTATTTTATTTGCGAACGTAAATTGTACGCACGTACGCACGTAAAAATTACGCGAAAGTGGGAATCAACGGTTGATGATCTCCGTAAGCGGTCTCAGGATAACAGGCAGGCAATCTTTGATCACGCCAGCATTGACTTTGTCAGGACCAGGGACTTGTTTAAGGGTATCTTTAAAAAAAGGCCTCACACGTCTCCGCAGGTTACTAGCTTAAAATTGAACAGCTCTTCAGAGGCCGGGATGTGAGAGTCGAAAAAAGGTTCAGATATATATAAGGTGATCTTGTTCTCTTCAGTTAAGCGGGCAGCTGCATGTGCGGCATTTCTACCAACTGAAGAAAAGAATACGTTAAATTCGTCGGCAACTACCCTTAGGTCTTTAGTGTAGGAGTGTCGTGTCTTGTGCTTTTGATGGAATGAGACGATTAATGACTTTCCACAGTGAGCCTTGGTTATGTTTTTGTTCCTCTGCTTCTTTGAAAGTATATTTTATCTCCGCGTCTCTCAGCAATCTTTAACTGTATTGCGAGATTCGTTGTAGTTTGACCAATCAACAGGGTCGCGTAACAAGAGGCAGCGATGGTGGAGCCGATCTCAGGTCTTCATGAGTTCCTTAAGGTCACTGGAAACAAAGGGACGGGGCGATTACGGACTTCTCTGTCATGATGGGAGCACGAGAGTCAAGTGTAGATTGGAGAGTCACAGAAAAGTCAAAGATTCGTGTTTGCATTTTCCCACTTTGGGTTTTCAATATACTAACAACGATTAAGAAGTATTCATTACTAGAGCAAAGAAATTAATCTGGTTAAACCAATTCGAGAATTAAAATAAGTGAAAACAGAGCACGTTTCCCGTAATATGATATTTGAAAGACAGTTTCCTCACGAATGCAAACCCCTTACGTTCTTAGACTTTTTAAAATAACGGAGCACGATATCCTATTTAACTTTTTTAAAGAGCCCTGAGAACAATCAGAATCAAATTCCTCCTCGTCATAACAACGCTTTATAAAACAGTGATAAAAGGAAGATAGCATGTGTCGAACCCAGTCCCTTCGACTCCCAAGGTTACGCACTACCGAACGTACGAGTACAATAAAAAATGGTTTGACGGACGGACGGACATAAGTATGGCTATAGCGACGACCTTGGAAACTGGGGATGAGAATCGCGACGTGACTGACAACATATAAAAATCTTCCAGAGCATCATGCATGTTTTGTGAAGAATGCGTCAGAAGGATTAACGAAAAAGATGTCGCGCTTTTTCCGGAACAGGTCGGTCCACGAGTTCTCTTACTTGAAAGCGTTGATTACTTTGGAACAAGTGAATACTTCAGTCGTCGAAAAAAAAAAGAATCTTTAGGAGTAAAACTTCGATGGTGAGGCTAACTGGTCGGGCGTTGTACACTTTCATTGTATGCAAATAAGTCTTTGATGAGCATGCGGTTTATTTTCGGCAATGATTGAAATGACGCGCGATGTTCATCAGGTTTTTGCTCTTTGCCAATGATGTAATTTCTCTTGAATCAAGCCCCTTGATTTTCGTCTATTTATACACGTGTTTTCAATCAACTTAGAAACAAATAGTCGAATAAGATATGAAAAGTAAATATCCTGAAGAATACTCTACCGTTGATCAAGTAGGACGTGGAAAACTTTAAGCGAGGAAATCCAGTTTCGTGTAGAATTAATCGCCTCTTCATTTCTTATCTAATCTCCAAGGAAGCTCGACTCAACGCTTTTAAGAGCGTTCTTGTTCTTCTTGTAGTGCTAACTGTATTCGCCGTAGCTTTCCCCCGCGCGCCTCAACCAATCCCCGATCTTCTCTCACCCCCGAAACACATAAATAGCGACTGCGTACGAGTCTGGTAGCTTTCTGATTACTTAGTTCTTGCAATTAAGCTTTGGGTTAAAATACCCTTTCAGGATAGGAAATAGTCCGTCGGCACTCTTCCTCTATTTGTGCGTCAACTTTAACGAATATTTTTAAGAGGTTAAATTTGACCCGCATTTTGTGCAACGAGTTGTATTGTCACGATTGACTACAAACATGTAGATATAAAACAGAGAGCTCTGACGCTTATCTCATGAAGTGAGCAAAAAATCTGTGTTAGGATTTTGACGAAATGGAGTTTAAAATGTATTCCGATCTCCCAAACGTTTTTATACGTAACAGAAAATAATAATAAAAAACACATTTTCTTAAAGTTCCATTCTTTTGTACGGATGCCAAAAACCACAAAAATCGGTTAAATTGTTCCTGTCGAAAAACGCGATTCAAAAGCATAACCAACGCGCATATAAATAGGTTCGGGCTAATCTCGTATCCAGATCTCGCTCCCTGTCTTTATAGCGTAAGACAGAGTGAGATCTGGGTACGAGATCAGGTTCGGGCCACCTTAGAAATTAGTGCTTTTGTACTGAAACATTAAAATAGTATTTTAAGTAAAAGAAACAAAACAAAAGCAAAGAAACAAAGAAAAGATAACTACGAGAGGAAAGCAGACATGGTTTGACCTTGACCACGCTCATACGTATACACGCACGATTAATTTTGCATGAGACTCTCTCCAGAACAACATCATTAGCATTCAATTTTATTGTGAAATTATGTACCAATGCATTTTCCCAATGAAAGATACAATGACAGCAATAGCCATCATCTTCTCGTCCTTTCCAGTAACCTTTATCACCATCCTCAGGCTTTTGTCACTATTTAAACAAACTAGGTAGCGACTGGAAAGGACTGTTCACTGCTTCAGCGAGAAAAAACGTACCCTTGCGAACAGTGGTTTCTCCAGGCCAGACGCTACGCTACGAGAAAAACCACAGCGAGCATGCAACCGTTTACTTTTCCATCGAGCATGCACGTCCACGCGATGCCTACGTCAAAACGTCAAATGCCATCACTTCCTCTTGTTTCGCAGGAAACATAAGAGACTTAAATATCCAACGACAAGACGGTAACGAGAACGTCAACAAAACAATAGGTTTAATAAGCAAGACAACAACTCTTCACGTGCATCACGCTTTTTTGCCGTTTTCGCAGGACTACGACTACGACATGAAAATATCTAATTTCGCGTTTTATGGAGAACGTAAACAAGCAACGACGAAATTTCATTTCTCTTCCTGAACTTGGATATGGTCCCCAGGAGTTCGACTCATGTTGTTCGCGTACATGAATAATCCCAAATAAACCGAATTGAAAGAGTGCAAATTCACAGCAGGCTCGCGTGAAGGCAGCAGTTGTAAGCGTAACCAAATGCGCGGAATCTTAACTTGTTTTTAAACAGGTTTTACATGTTTAAAGATAATAAATTCGTCCATGGCGCTGGACGGCGCTCGATCAAAGAAGCAGACGGATGCTCGCAGTGGTTTCTCTCCCTTCGTAGCGTAGCGTCCGCCCAGGAGAAACCACTGCTCACAGGGTAGATAATACGTACTTCTAACTTCATGAATATTTAAGACAAACAATTCTGTAATCTGAAATAACAGACCAGGTTCTTATTCTTATGATCCGATGGACGGTGTGGCCATGGGGCATGGGTCCCCCTCTTTTTGTGGGTGTCCCCTTTTTGTGTTTTTATTAGTAATATTAACTTAAGCCCCCTCGACATTCACGCAACCATAGAGGAAAAGGTTAGATACAAGATGGCGCCCTTGGATGTCCTAATTGACAATGACACTGCACATCTCAAGGAAGTATTTTCCAAATAAGGAAAAATGATGGAATATTGCATCATACGTTTCAAGTAGGGATCCAATCAGAATGTTTTGAGCTATACTTGCCAAAACCTGAATACTTGGCGTCTAATAAGATCTTTCTCGACACAGACACAGTGAACCATTTAGTAATTGAGTTTTCAGACTATCAATATTTCTCCAACGGGAATTTACTAGGTTTAATATCGTTTACGACGTTCATCACTGTTCATCATGGCTTCCTCAGAGAATCGCAACTTTTTCTACAAATACGAATCCATGAGGACAAAATGGAGTCGATTTTTCGACCAAGGAAATGCGAAGGCCGAGACGATCAGAACCTTCTTTAACACCTTCCATAAGAATCACAGAGGTTTTACGTACGTGGTCGGGGAACTATTCGATGAATCAATCCATCTTCTCGTTTCTCCTGATCAGTATAATCGAATCAAAGAAGAAATTGAAAAGAAAGTTGGTGAGACCCTGCCGGACGTTTCGCGGTCAAGGGACGTAATTATCAAAGCGAGAGGCAAATCATTTCCAAATCTTCAGTCGTTTAAGAATTATTCCAAAACCCTTAATGAACAAAACAAGGAAATTGAAAAGAGGTAAGAAATCTTTAATTCATCCATTTTTCCCCTTTTTATAATGTTGTATGAGAACGAGTTCTTTACTTCCCCACACTTCAGCTGTACCTGTACCGACTTGATTCGCGACTTTTCACGGACTAGTTTAGTCAGATCAGTCGTTTCTTTCCATCAAAAATAATCTGATCGGCTAGCTCATCGCTTTAGTTAAACGAAATCATTGTACTCCTTCTGAATTGATAAAAAGCAGAAAATTCATTTAAAAAAAGTCGGTAAAATATGCCTTTTTTGTTCTGGACTTATACACAAAGTTATTAAATTTCGAAGCATTCGCGACAATTTCTTTGATGTTTCCGCATGACGTATGTTTCTATTTCTCATTCAATATTTGCTCGATTTTTCTGTTCTTCAATGGTAGCGAAAAGTCAATGGAAAAAAAGCAAAATTGTCGTTGAAAGTTTTAATCTAACGAATAGCTGGCCTGTCATATCGAAGTCACTGCTAGTCGTTTCATAACCTAAGTAGATAGACTTCATTTTAGCAGGTCTCAAACTTTCTCTTTTACATGTCTTACATGGTCGCGAATCGAAAATAGGGCCTGATCTCAGTTTAATCTCTCGTGCATACAAGCAAGTGGCGCTACAAAATCATTACAGTGACTATAACACATAATCATTATGCTATGTCGCTATGTTGTGGTAGAAGTTTGGTTCACGAAACTTTTGATCGTAGGACGGCGCTGGGACATATTCCACCTTCGGTATCAATAACTTAATGTTACAGCCGGATGAATCAGCAAAAAGCCTTGTGTAGAGGGGTTTTAGGGATACCTTCTAGAAAGGCAGGAAAAATTTAATCCCCCTCTGCCTTTCTAACAGTACTTCCTATCAGCATCAAAGCTAGAGCATACGACGTCCGTCAGGTAAGTTTCGCTTTCCGCGGTCAAGCAGTAAATAAGACATTTTTGCAACATACAATACTTACCATCAAAGCTGGTATCTCGACAAATTCAAGTAACCTTCTCTGAAACCTCAAGGCCGTCATGAATAGGATGCTAGCCCATTGGGAAAAGCTGTCTTTCGTCTGCTTAAAAAGTGTTCCAAAACTAAATGCAGATTCGAGTATTACTGAAATTGCAGCTAAAAATTATAAAACATTTGGACTTTATAACACTTTCTTTCTCGGAAACTAAACGACGTGGTCAATCGGATTCTAGGAAAAAGCCCAGATTTTCAAAGGGCTCAAAAGAAAACCAGTACAGGTACCCGGCAGAATCGAATAATAATAATTTATAGTAATAATCTTTTATTAGGCAATTTTCATCACATCACTGTGGTTTTCAGAAAGGTCCTAACTTACATTAAAAGTACTAAATTAGACTATATGCAGGAAAATGAAAGATACCTAGAATTAAAAATATATATATATAAACTAAATTAAACGGATTAAATGCCAAGAGATAAATCACTTAAATGTACGAACTTACAACACTCCGTTTTCCGGAAACTAGTAGTTGGTGTCGTCAATCGGATTCTAGGAAATAGACATGTCTTTTATTTGCATGGTTAAGAAATGGTTCCAAAATACAGCATTACAAATGGGATCAAATAAATCCAAAGACCCAAAATAAAAGATATAATATTTGTTTCTAGGAACCTAGATGACGTCATCGATCAAATTCTAGGAAAAAAAAACGCGAGTTGTGTTTAAACAAAAGCAGAAATAAGGGAACAATGATAAATAAAACCATATTTTAGTACTCTTGTCATTTTCAAATTTAAGAGAGGGTTTTTTTTCTCTTGAGTGTTCAATTTCAAGTGAGCTACGATCGACACGGGGTTTCTCCGACAGTGGAAAAACAGAAACGCCACCACTTGGATTCTCGGAAAACCAAATTAGGTCACGTGCACGAAAACCTGGGCAGTGATTGGCTAATGGTTTGTTTTGGTCTAGTTTATCAAATTTGAAAACTCTCTGTCAGACTGAAAACTCCCGCTGCCAAAGAAGTGGCAGAGTGCCTACCTAAACAAAAACTATCGAAAAAGTCACGAAGCTTAAAATGACTCTGATAATAAATACATGAATCATGCACAGGAGCCGGATCAAGAGTTAAAATTTGCTTTTGACTGACATTTAAACCTCAGGCCCGGGTTCCTAGAAAGCCGATTAGCGTTAATCGAGGATTAAATCTCGCTAATCACCGAATACATTTTGTCCCACGATTTGATCCTGTTCCTGAAAGCATGATTAACTTTAATCTAGGAATAAACTAAGTGTTAATTTTAACCCACCTAGCGAGGTCGATTAAGTCACTAATCGGGGCAAAACGTTTGTAAAACAAACAAATTGGCGGACTTACCGTTGCCTCAAATACGTGAAAAAAAGTTCCGACAGCAAGAAATTGATCTCGACCAATTCACTGATGAAGAGCTTTTCAGTAAAAACGGGTTTGGCCGAGAGTCAATTCAATATTTGGTAGAAATCCTCAAGAACGACCTCCAGAGAAAGACGAGGAGAAAACATAAGCAGTTGCCAGGGTGGTTACTACTTCATGTAATAAATTTGGTCATTATAAAACATGGACTGTGGACTGCGGATTGAATATAGGGACTATGTTATAAAAACTGGGCCATTTATTTCTAGGTAGATGAAGAATTCCGGTTTCCTCTTCTTCTCCTTTGGTTCAACCTAGACCACTTCATTTTCCGCCATTTTCCTTTACTTCACCCGTGCCTAAACATTTTTCGCGCCACATTTTTTAAAAGCAATCATGCATCCCAAAAACTAGTTAAACCGGTTTATTTTAACACTAATCTCGGATTAGTTAATCGTGGGTTTATTTCGCTTTCAGGAACTCTTTTTAAACCCACGATTGGTTATCCGAGGAATAAGAAAATTAATCGTGGATTTGACGCTAATCGGAGGATAGTTTAATCGGCTTTCCAGGAACCGGGGCCTGGTACACATTTGCTTACGTTGTCCCGTAATTTCTCTTTATTAGCTGCGCTTCCAACCGGTTTTCACCGTGTGCAAACTGTTGCTTTACAAAGGAAAAGAATACCAAAGTCTATGCAAAGCAATTTGCTTTCCACCCGACTAATTCAAAGCTCAGGAAAATTCAGGACTTTTCACTGAAGGACTTGAACAGAAATTCAAGGACTCCCACTAAAATTGAAGGACGTTTCAAGACAGTGCGAACCCTTTTTCCCCTATAAAGCATCACGGATAAAACTCGATAGACGAGACTTAACGATGGACCGTTTAATTTTTGTTGGGCAATTACATCCGTGAAAATATTCCGGGCTGAAACAAAGGAACTCGGCAGTTACGTAGAGTTTTGTACAACAAGACGCTCTAAAAGCGTTGACTCGACCTCGGCTTGATTGGAGATAAGATAAGAAATGAGAAGACATCATACTTAAGGAGTCTGTGTGCTGGCGTGGAAGCCATAGGAGGAGAAAAAAAGAGACTGCCAGCTAGCCAGATTACACAGTAACTATTGACTACCTTTGGTACACACACAATAGTCGGAAACTTCGCATGTCTTGAAACTGGAAAAAAAAATTATAACGTTTGAATAGGGTACCTGAACTTGCACCCATTCGTTAACCATCAATTATAATGTGGGTAAACCTCAATAAAAACATAGTGATTTTTTTATGAAGTTGAATTTTAGCAGTGAATAGAAACACCACACCGTGGACACCCTTCTTAGCTCTTCTTCTTCTCCTTAGTGGCATTTCCTTGTGTTCTATTGTTAGCCTTCGACAACAAAAGAATACTAAGCTACCGTACTAAACAGTAATACTAAAAAATGCAATAATTAAAAAACTAAAGTGAAACTTTCCAATGATCTCGGTTTTAGGCAATTATACTGTAATTTCAAGGAATCTACCACAATCAATGGCAATACAACACAAAAGGACCTTGCGAATCTATGACACCGAGGAAACATCAACGAAGACGTCAGTATGAAAAATAAAACACATTTCCCAAACTACTACTGAAATAAATAGACTAGTTCAATTTGTAGACCAGAAGTTTCTTCTAAGGTTACCTGTTTCAAATTTGGGCTAAACAGGTTCTTACATAAAGGGGGTCTAACTGGCAAAATTTAGCCTAATAGGTTCTTCAAAGCCAGGTTCTTACGGGGCTCTAGACACGTGCTCCGAAAAAGGAGCCTTCTTATTTCTAATTTCTGTGCACACATTCCAGGAGGAAAGAGAATGCAAGAAAGAGCGTCGTTGAACTGCAAAAAACAATAAGAAGAAATCCGAAAGCACTGATTTTGTCATTTGACCTGGAGGCTTACGAACATAACCACAGCATTATTCTCGAGATCGGCTACGCTATGACAAGCTTGAACAATCAAGAAGATGTACAAGCGTTTCACTACATCATCCAAGAAAATCTCAGGTATGTAAGAACCTTCGCGGATTTTCTTAAGGGTTTGTTAACATGACTTTTGAAGACAAAAACGCGCCATTTTCCAGCGGATTTTTACATCCACTGACCCCACCGCACTGGCTGGCGATTTTGCAAGTTGCACACTCGGCCTGCGGGAATTGTTTTTCAAGACGTAAATCCGGGACTCTAGGGAGAGTTTTGCGCTAATTGTGCACTTTTACTTGCAAGTGAAGAATAAAAGTTATTATTATTTAGTTAAAATATTTCGCCGTTTCTGATTGGCTTTCTTCTGGCTAATTCCTCATAACCAGCGAGTTTTGACCAAATTTGGAAAATGCTGGCAATATACAATCTTTGATGTCAAGCAAGACGGCAGCACGGCGGCGCAGCAGCTTAGCTGTTATGACGAAAAATGGCGAAACAGTTCACGGCTGTGTAAAGACGAAATAGCCGAATTACTGACTAAAAATGAAAGCGACGGATGAAAGAATAGCGCAAAACATCATTGCCAGATGGATGCCATGGCATCTACATTTTGGGGAGTATCTGCAAGGAATAAACGCGAAGGTCATTTATACGAAGTTTTTCTCGTCTTAGCTAAGTCGCGTCTTATTTTAGACGAAATGTGCCGTTTATACCGAAAGTTCGCGTCTTATGTAAGACGCGTGTTATTTTTCCTCGTATAAATGGCCCTATTGCCCCAATTTCTTGCTAACTTTGAGTATACACCTTTTCAGGGCATTTTATGGTTGACAAAGCAATAAATAAAAACTCGTGGCGTTCATGACGGTGAATCGTTGTTGCATATATATTTGGACCAGCAGGAGTCACTTCTGTAGGGGTGTTTACAGAGCAACTGACAACTTGCCTGCGTTTTGAAATCAGTCAAACTAACCACTCTCAGTAAAAGCCTATATCCAGGCACCGAGATGATCGAGTCCACGAAATTCAGAAAGGGCGAACAGGAAAATAAACGGGGAGGAAAATCTTTCCCGCCACCGCCCCCTTTTCCCAGATCGCCCGCTCATTTTTTCGCGTGCGTTTCACTTACGCGTCATCCCTACAACCTGAGCTTCCTTACCTTCAAAAGCAGTGCATCTCACTTTGAAGATTTTCCGCACAAATATCGAGAGCAAAAGTATTTATTTTTATTTTCTCATAATCTTACAGTTATTCAAACAAGGATTATGTTCCTGACAAAAGAGATCACTTTATCTTTGGCAACTCTGAGCACATGCCTCTCAAGGAGGCAGCTGCAAAACTCCGGGACCACATCAAGGGCGCGGATTTTTTGGTGACTCATTCCGGAGCACACGATACAGAATTTCTCCAGAAATGCGAAGTCTCCGTGTCAGGGAAGCTCATGTTCGACACTCAAGTGCTCTCGTTGGCGTTACTTCCTGACGGGCCTCCAGTGTACGGTCTGAAGAAGCTTTTGGAAGACTTGAAGATTCCTTTTGACGAAGAGGTTCTTCACAATGGCGGAAATGACGCCTTCTATACCCTAAAGGCCTTTCTATCTCTGGCAAAACTGGAATTGCAGTAACTTGGAATGAAGAGTTCACTCGGAAAATCCTTTCTTTTTTAAACAGAAGTTCCCAAGCATGCAAAACATGTCGAGTAAACAGCACGAATTATTTTTGAAATTTTATCAGAGACTGGTTGTTTTGAGCTACACAATGTTTAGCCCAAATCAGCAGAAAGTGTTTTTCACGCACTATGATTGACTTAAATTAAACTCTGGGTGCTGCTTGAGATACAAAAGGTAAATAATCACCAGTATCAACCTCGTTTGCATTTATATACTATGATAAATAGAGAGGAGACGTGTGACACGTTACCATGGTACCAAAATTGGGAGCTTAAGCAACGACGACGGCGACCGCAACGAGAACGGCAAAAAAGCAATAGGTTGATATTACCAAACCATTACCGTGCAGCACGCTTTCTTAGCCGTCGTTGCACGGCTGCGACATGAAACTTCCTAATTTCATGCGCCCGCTGTAAGGAGTAGGTGAACACAACACAAAGATGTTCTTTTTCTTTTTCTAAACTTAGATAAGATCCTTTCGGATTCAACCCCCCAATATTTCGCCAACGTTTGACATATTAAATGAAACAGTGCGAATCAACTTGTTAGGTGACGTTTTCGGTTTGTTGTCATTCAGAAATTTTGCTACCATGGCAACGTGACGAAACGACTTCTTCTCTCTACAGAGCGTTTTCACTCACGTGGCCAGCATCAATGCACATTTATGGGAACAAAAAAAACGTTTACATAAGAAAATAATTTCACTCCCACAAGATTGGTTTGGAACACTAAAATGGCTGCCGTTTCATTGTTTTGGAACATCAATATGGCCGCTGTGACGCCATGTGAAAACGCTCTATTATCGAATGTGTTATCGACTAAGAAAGAAAACACTTCTGAATGAGAACTTTATTCACGGAGTCCGTGCATCACAAGTTCTGATCACTACAAGGGTAAGATACATTCAATGGAGTGTTTGTTATTTTAGGGCTATCAAACGTTCCCCAATAAACATACCCCGAAAGGCTGTTTTTTTTCTTAGATTCTTATAAATGCTGTGGTTCATTTTTATCCTCGGTTTAAATTTTCTTTCCCTTTGTCTTAAACTCATTATCATACATTGCCATACCCTAAAATAAAGGGAAATAAAATTGAACCACACAACTTTAATGTCAACTAGATTTCTTTTGGACACCAAGCATAATTATTTTAACGAAGATAGATAACACAAATAAAATGGCATTGCCATAATTAATTGCATCCGCGTAAGCTTTTTAAATGTCTGTCTTTTCTTAGAGCAATATATATCAATCGAGTCAGTTTAAGTACAATATTTGGTTTTAACACTAGATATGGCCACCCATCAGAAACCATACTATATCCCTAGTCAAGAAACACTATATACTGGTTTTTCATTTACAACTGAATATTCTGAGTAGATATGATTATTGCTACGTTGTAAATAGGTTAACACAGATGGTAACAGAACTTATAGTCTATAATATATACTGTAGGTGGGCGTTTCTCCATTTTAAAACAACAATTCTTATAAACTCGATAACTAATCTACGCTGTCAGCAATTATTTAGTAGGTACACCTCAGTTTTGCTCATAATATAATCCACGGTTTCTGGAACGAAATACATTTATCTTCTTGACTGACTGGGCCTGAATACATTAATGTATAGTCTTATAATTAGGCTATTCCTATGACTGTTATCATATTCCTGTAATCAAAACTTTCACTCTCATATATTAACTCACTATAAAATACAAGTAGTCTCTATAGAATGTAATAAATTAATCCCGGTGTTAATACAATAGTTACATAATTTTCTGATTAACATGGAGGGTCAAGAAAACATCACTTTGAAATTGCCTTAACTACTTCTTAATCAAAAAGTGATTTTCTTCCAAGTATAATACATCCAGCTCAGACCAAATTTGCAATACAATAGTTGGAAAATCCTACGCCAGCGATAGTCTAATGTTAAATAACTTCTTGAAATAACCATTAAATAGGGGACCATCACCACCGTTAACGATAATCCGTTCCTAAGTTTAACTCGCGTCATCTGTCTCTAGATTCAATTTTTTCCCAGACCTAACGCAAGAATTCATTACTCGATTTCCGGCAAGAGTGCCATAGGGCGTTTTCTCAGACGTACCAGAATTCTTCAGTCAGTTTTGATGATCCTTGTAACAAGGAATATGGCCCATATTTAGGTGCAGGAATAAAAGTTATCAAGTCAAGAAACCTTGGACTACTTCCAAGGGTCAATTGAGATTTAAGATGTACAGAAAACTAGTCAACGAAGACTGACATCTCGGGAAAGTTCAGTCGATGCAAACAAATATTTTCAGTCATTAAACTTTACGTCTAACAACAAAGAAAAATACCGAAGAATGGGCATCATAATCATGTACATGAAATTATTCTCATCGCGATTGATTTCTCTGAACAAAGTTTCAAATTATTTCACGGGATCAAGGTATTGGAGAGAAATGTTTTATGCCGTTTCCAACGTGGCAGAGCGGTATTTATTCAAGGTTTTTCGAAGTAGTACATGATGGCCATTTCGGTTTCGCACTTACCGTTTTGTGATTGGCTAACAATCTTGCTTCACTTTCTCCACCCAATCAAAGTCAAAGTCGAAACCAAACGTGACTCAGGTACTCGTTATGGTTTTCCCGCCCTTACAGCTGTAGTAGCCGTCAATTCTGCGCGGGAAAACGAGTGAGAGATATGGGTTTGCTTTAAATTCCCATTGGTTGACAGGATTGCCTGTGTTAGGAGCACGTTCAGCTTGATCACAGCAATTATAACCATAGCTTGTTTTGTAACAACACTCAGTTATAACAATTTTGATTACTTAGGTTATTTCCTCCCTTGGTCCTTGGTGTTATCACTTCTCCTTCTTATTCCGTAGGACTACCATTATCCTAAAAAAGACAAGAGATAGCTGATCAGCGTATTCCTTTCTTAGCCCGACAAATTCCTAAATATCGGACATCTAGAACTGGTCCCTTTGGTTCTCATTTCTCTTACTCTCAAAAAGCTGGACACGTATCAAACCTCTCATCAGAGACGGATACTAAGTGCCGTTATACACGTTGTCTGTTTGCACTCTACGACAGAGCCCTGTGGAATAGTCAAGTTCTCTATGTCCGCTGAATAATAGCATTGAAGACGCATTTTACAGGGTTAGCCTCCATCTGAAGTGAACATATTCCCAAATTCGAGCGAGAGGACGACTTGTTTACTACCCTGTGCCGGTTGTTTTTCTTTCAAATTTCTGGCTCCTTCCTACCTCACTCATATTTGTGAATGCTTCACTTAGAGTCGAGGCCAACCCTGTACCTGTATTGATGTGTCAGCATAGTGTTTGTGACCAGCGACCCGGTGAAATCAAACAAACAAATCGAGAATTAACATGTTCCATACTTCTGTTTGTTGGTATTTCGAGCCATTTCCCAAACGTATTTTAGTCACCCCGTGAAATCGTTGCTTTGTCTAGCAGGCTCCCTTTTTAGTTGTCCTTTTACGCAGACGAGAATTGTAAGCTTCATGATTCAAGTAACTTTTCAACGTTCATTGTTCCTTACAACTCGAAGGGGGTAGACGGCAAATTGATGTTGTTGGAAATATCGTAAAGTCGTAACAGTTCATCAGTCGGATGCCTAAAACGTGTGCAATTCCACAATTGGTTTCGGCTCTATTTAATCCTATACCAACTGCAGAACAATTTTAGGAGGGGCAACCCACAATGTGAGCCGGCACAGTTACTGACAGAAAGTGACACAGAATATGAGTAAGAAAAACAACACAAAGTGAAAGCAATGCGTTAAATAATAAACTAATGGAACACGCCAATCAAATAAGTTTTGCTTCTCCGTACACTTTTTACACAAAAAAATCTCACCGTATCTTTCCCATTCCCCCCTGGATCAGTGTCTTCGTTTTCCCGTCCTCCATCCGGAGAGGGTCTGGGAATAGCTGGAGTGAACAATTTCGACTGACTGTCCTGCAATACATATAAGAACAACAATAAAATATAAGGCAACAAAAAAACAGCAAAGCATCTTAAAACTAAGACCAAAAAATAGCTGTAATAATAATTATCACCTTGCCTAGTCCCTAGGCCTCATTATTATGCGAGGCCGATGCGTTTCGGGTCACGTGATCCGAGAAAGGTTTTGAGGCCTAGACAAACTCGGAGAAGTGAGACATTTTGTCTCACTTAGGGCGGAGCTTTTGGAAGCGGGCGAGCTGTCAATAACTTTTCCGCGCTGATGAAAGATGTCCAGCAGCCATGGAGAGTACAGAGGAACGAGCATTTTCATTCCAAGTCGTTTGGCCTTTCTTTTTCATTTATCTCATTAAACTAATTTGAACTTTACTTCATCTCAAAAACTATTTGTAGGCTAAGCAAAACAGCGTCGCCAAAAAATTATTTGATCAAGAATCGGAAAGTAAGCTAAAGAAATAAGTCAAATAAGTTTATATTTTTTCTTGGATATGACAAGCTATCTTTCGTTTCTCTATTTTCGGTTGCTCCTATAAATTTCTCGTTATCATTTCACTTCGAAATACTTTATGTAATTTAATTTTTGGATTTGGAAGCTTATCAAACTAATCGGACAGGCTGCTGAATTTGGTCTCTAAATTTGGTAGAATGTCAACAAACTGCTGTTTCAAATCTTTTTATCAATTAAGACTATCATTTTAATGGTTCATTTGAAGATGGACTGAAAGAGAAATTTCTTGCACGTTATACAGTAGTATTCTTTCCGATTCAAAGTAATATTTTTGTTCTTTTATAACACGAAATAGGTTAGTTACTTTTGTAATAGTGTCAATAGTGCCGATCCTTAGCGAAGGAGTATTCACGCGCAAAGCTATTTATAGATTATTTCAGTTGACCGTGGGCGCTTACCATTTAGTCAAAATTTCCGGAATTTCCGGTTCGGCGGTAAATGGAACACGTTTCGTCGGTTCGTCCCAATGGAAAATTCCAAGAAAAAGTGGAAAATCTAAAAAGGTGGTCCCGTTTTCCCGGTTGGAATTTCTGAACGGAATGTCGTGTTCCATTTACGTTTCTCGTACTTTGTACCAGTTCCAGGTCCACGGTCGGGCACCGCGCCACGTACCGGGGTTTACGACCAAATGGAACAACTTTTTACCAATCGGAAATTCCACTTTTGCTACCACCGAAATTTCCGGATTTTTTTCGTAAATGGAAAGCGCCCCGTGTGAACTTTTCAAAAATGCTCACGCATGCGCACTCCGAGATTGTCTAGGCGTCTCCCGGCCGTTCGTCTCGGATACGTCACCGAAATGCATTGACCGAGAGGGCCTGAAAAGACGCCGCACAGGGACTAGTCAAATTATCACCATCATCATCATCTTCATCATCATCGCAATAATCACCATCACAATTGTCATCATCATTACGACGATAACAATAAAAAAATTGACTAACTTTACCTCTTGTCTTTGCTGTTTCAGCAGCGTTTTATGAGTTTCACTGTCACGCACGGTCGGGGGAGACGGCGAGGGAACTGGAACGGGTGGTGACTCGGAGCTGTGACGTTTCACAATGTGTCTCATCCTTGCCCTTGGCGACGTATTGTGTGACTGACTCTTCTTCTGCGTGTCACGCGGACTGTTTTGTGACTCTGGAGACATTTCCTCCACAGCCTGAAAATTTTAAGTTGAATACATTAACCCTTTAAGCCCCAATATCCACATACAAATTCTCCAGACATTCTCCAGATCTCCATACATTTCCTTAAAGAATTGAGGGAATTTGATCGAAAAGATCAAAGCATTTTCCCTCTGGTGATCATTTTATTACTTCTCAAAACCTTCTTGTCTTGATGGTGTGTGGATATTGTCTCACTTGACTACATTTATGAGTAAAGTTTATAACCGCCGCCCGGTTTGCTCAATTGGATAAGCGCCGGTCTGTTGAGCGGGAGGTCGGGGGTTCAAACCCCGGCAGGACCAACAGTTAGGGTCTTAAAATAACTGAGGAGAATGTGCTGCCTTTGATGTGACATCTACAATTGGTTAGACATTCCAGTCTTCTCGGATAAGGACAAATAACCGTAGGTGCAGTCTCACAGCTCTTTCACTGTTCTAACTCTTGTGGGACGTAAAAGAACCAACACTGCTATTCGTAAAGAGTAGGGGGCGTAGACCCCAGAGGTGTGGTACAACCTTTCAAGGGCTGGGTGGGTAATGAAGGGGTTGATATCAATGGGGACGTTAGTCCTGATTCATTCTCTGCCACCGTGTTAAGTCACCGTGACGAATTCAATTAAGTAATAAAGCAACCAAGCCAGCAATATTTTAAATATCAGATATCATTTGAATATCACAAAGCCAGTTAGAACGGTGGCCCTCCCACTTTTTGTCATACCGTAAGCTGTAACGCGACATACAGGATCGTGCTAACTGTAACACATACACCAAATTGTAACATTGTTTCTCTCACCTGCCCTGCCCCAGCATTCCTTGGGGAGTCTGGGCCCGAATTCGACGTAAGCAGTGATTCTTCTTTGGCGAATGGCGAGAATTCATGCTCAAGTGGCGGAGACCGAGAATTCTTGGGAATGGGTGGTATTGTCTGATAACAAAACACAAAATAAGGATTGCAGTAAAATATTGGAAGGATCATTCAATTTCATAAATTCAATCACAACTTGTTTCAAAGTCGCTAGTGATAGCCTAAACAGATGAACAAAATACGTATTGTAGTAAACTCTTGGAAGGCTCAAGAACGTATTGCTGCAAAGTCGCTCTAGACAGACGAACGAGGGCGCCTTTAAACCCCAAGCATCTAGTGAGGTAAATTCTATTAGGCCTGTAAAACTTGACTTTTGTAATTGTAAGGTAACCCAAACACCCCTTCAACAAGGTTCACCGACAGAGCCATTTAAGACGTTTAAGAGCATTAATTAACCCACGAGATCTTTCTGACAAATCGAATCATTTACTCATGATACTCAAGTGCCATACCAGGCGACAGCAGGCAGGTTTAGAAATAACAACGCGACGGCAAACGAGAACGCGAAAGCGCGCAGGAAGGACTGAGCGCGACTTCCGGTGTTTAATTTCTCGCTCTGATACTGGTAAAGCCAGGAGCCCATCAAATTGATAGGCTCCTGTTAAAGCTTGTTTTTAGTTTTGCGAGCGCTGACGTCACTGCCGTCGCGTTCTCATTTCTCAAACCCTCAACCGCTTAGTCTGTGGTGTCAGATTCCCCTTGGTTGTCAGAAAATGTGGAGTGGGACCTTAAAATCTAAGCAGTTTGTGTTGCGAATAAACATACATTCATACCTGTCTAAAGCGTCCCTTATAGACATGACCATCGGAACCTTTCAGCAAATCAATAACAGACATTTCTCTTCCCCAGTTCGGGATTTCTGTTTGTTCTTCACGGGCTACAAATTAAGAAAGAAATTTTAACACTACACCTACTACATGTTCTCTTAGATCCATATAAGACGCTGGGAAATTAAAAACTACCCCTCCCCTAACCCAACATTTAGCCCTAAGTGGAAAGTTAGTGTCACTGCCGGGATAACGGAGGGGTGGGTGGGTAGTTTCTCCTCAAAATTATACACAGAGGGAGCGTTCCCGAGCGGTTAGAGCGCTGGAATCGCAATACTGAGTCCCCGAGTTCAAGTCCCACTCTGAACACTAGCTGGATCTGTTCACACGGCAGTCCCGAGTTCAAATCGTCGGTCACCCTGGTTTGTCTCCGACCAGTTGGGATTCTTAACCTTATCATGTTTATTTTGAAATGTTTGTTTTTGAAAACTACTGGGTTACCCCTATGACCACATTTTTTCCCTTTATTAGTTTAATTTTAATTGTTTTTATTATTTTTATATACTGAAAACAAGAAATGTACTCAGTACTGTAATTGGTTAAACACAAACCTAACACTTGGTTTAGCTGTGTAGTTTTGGTTCTTCTCTTTGGATGATACATAACTGTGTGACTTCCTCCGCAAGGTCGCCCTGATATGATCTCATTTAAAGACCTTTCTGCTTTACCACCTCCATAATGACCTCGCTGATACTGGCGAATCTGCAAGCAACAAAATGGTAGCAATGAGTTAAAAAGTTAGAATGATGCAAAACAAGAACAACTGGATATATAAGTGGAGTTTAACTGATTCGGCGTCATTTTCAAATGGTAACAGTGTCAAAAGGGAATACTAGAGCAGATGAGAAAATATATATTTACTTACAGCCACTTATGGATGGACTTGGGGGTACCTTATTGCCTTGAACTGTGAGTTAGGTTAGACTTCGTTTACATAATCAGTAGGGATGAGGCTTTCAAAGCTCTATAGTGAAAATCCCCCGAAATCGGCAAATATCAAATTAATTTTTGTAACTCCCTAAAAGGCTTCTTACCTGGTCCATTTCAAAAGATAAGTAAGGTCCCTTGGATCTCTTTGTACGGACACCCCGAGGCAATGGCAGGTTGCTCTGATTGGGCCCTCGCAGAGGAAGCTCCACAGGTCTACTACAGGAAATGCAGTTGAACTTAACTTGCTTGCGGAATCCGGCTGCATCGGAAAAGTCCACTTTTGCCTCGGCAGCAATGAGATTCCTGGACTTTTGTACATCTGCTATTCGGCGCTCTAGAAAAGACAGTATAAACACATTACCTTCTGGCCGCACAAAACAGCGGCACTAACTCAGGTAACAACTTAGGTCCATCGAAAAAAAAAAGCGCAATGGGTGAATTGGGGGGATGAAGACTTGTACGAAGGGTACTTGAGCACTGACAAACATCGACGATTACAATTACTAGATGGACTGGCATCAACAAAAAGGTAAACAATGATGTCAGCAAAGATTCGCCTGTTGCTTGTTGCAGTTCTCATTGCCATCGCGGTCGTCGTTGTTTAAGCTCCCCAGTGCTTGCAACAAGGCTACACCTATTATGTAGGATATACTTGTACACGTAATGTACCTAAATAGTTCTTGAGTGCTTGAAAGGCCTGTCCATCCATTTTCTCTGACATATCAGCCGATAGCTGCTTCAAGGCTTGCTTTAGAGCCATTTCCTCATTCATGTAGTCATCCATTTTCTGTAGAGCTTCCCTGAGCCCTTCATCAAGCATGTTGAATGTGTTATCAAATGTTGACACATTCACTTTGCTATCCAATGCAGCTTTGTCAGCTTTGATGTTCATTTCCAAGGCAACATTTTCCTTATCTGCTTTACTTTCTTGAAGTTTTTCAACATAACTATACAGTGCTTCAATGTGTTCCTGTAAGAAAGCGGAAAAGGAAATTATGCAGCACCCGCAAACGGTAGCACAAATTAGTATCTGTAAGTAGAAAAGACTACTTGTAATGACCCATCATTGTACCTCACTGCCTTGATATGCATTTATATCAACTACCATATTGCAAACTACCATTCTGATGTCTAAAGTCCCGTCCTCATGAATCTGGACATTTTTGAAACTGTATATTATGTTTTTACACGAAGCGCTGTCCGTCTGATCACCGAAACCGCATCTTTCTTAAAAAGCTCTCCAGAGTGATTTAAGGCCCCACCCAAACAAATGCGGGTAAAAAATTGCTGTTTTAAAAATGTTTCACAATTAACACCTTTCTGGCTGGAGATAATTTTTTCTTTTTAATTCTCAAAACCATGAAATTGATTTGTAGGGATTAAAGGGTTAATTACGTTAGGCCACACATTATTAAGAATGCCTTACTCTCCTCACTCTCCACATTCACCCTTTTTAGAGCGCCTGCCAAATAATCTACATTATAGACTTTATCTCTGAAGGTTGGGATTTATTTTTAAAGTATTGTTTAATGCTTACATGACATAGACCGTTTATGTACAGCAGTACAGTACATGTACCTGTTTTCTGCTAAGATCCTGAACCACTTCTGAATGTTGCCTGTCTGCCGTTACAACGAGTTTTTCCTGCTCTGCTTGCAGATCAGTTAAGTGTTCCCTCAATGCGTCCAACACACTGCTGTCTACGCCAGGTGACTGGCTAACGACTCCTGTGAAAGCTGGTTTGTTTTGTCGAGCAATTATGGCAAGTTCACGTTTGATTCCCTCTATGTGATCTTTGTTGTTAAGAGCCATGTTCTTGATTTCGGCGAGAGCAACTAAGTCTTGATTTGTATTTAGGAATTCCAAACCTCCAATGAAAAATGAAATTAGTGAATATTTATATAAATTTATTATTTGATTTCACCTCCAAGGACATGAGTCCCCTCACAATAGGAAGTAGCATCCATTCACACACAGTAAAATAAAAAAGAGAACAGAAAAAGAAAAAATAAAAGAGAAGAGAGAATCGAAAAACTACCTTAATTTAAAAAGAAAACAAAACACACACACACATAAGAAGCTCTAGATCTGTAGATAAAGTTATCCTATATTCCTACCCTATGGAAACTGCACCAGTATCACAGATGTCAGGGTTCAAATCTTGACAAGCTGAAATTTTTTCAGGCTTTCATTCGCAACTGCATAACTTGCATCTTCAACTGTAATTATTGTCGTGTCTTTGCATTTATTTCTTATCTAACAGTTCATTAACTTCATCTTCATTAATTTCACAGTTAATTAATTTCATCTTCACCTTTCCCTGGCATATTACAAACAAATTTGTTAACCAGCTCTCATTCTATAATTCCAATATATGACATTCATATATTCCTCACTTCACCCCTTCATCATTTCTAGGGAATATTACAAACCAGCTCCCAGTAGCTACCTCAATTGGTTAGAGCGCTGCACCTGCAGTATCGCAAAGGTCAGGGTTTACCGTGAATCCTAGCCTGGGACCAGGCTCCGCAGTGGGGGAAAAAGGCAACAGTCAAAATATAGGCAAGCGAGGGTGAGAGTGGCAGTGGTGGGGGTCAGAATATCAGCTACCGAGGCGAGACTAGTGGTAGTCTGCAAACAGGGAAAGGACCACGTACCCTTTCCCCTTCCCAGACTACCTCTCATTTCGCTTTGCTCACCGATTTTTTTCTCTTTCCCCCAATGCAGTGCCTGGTCCTGGGCTACGTGAATCCCTGCAAGCCTGAATTATTTCAGGCCTGCCCTTTGCGACTCCCTTTAACTACAATGACCTTTTTGGATTTGTTTCTTCATTCTGTAGTTGAAATAATTTTTTTTATTATATGAAATTCATATATTGACCATTTTAGTATACCTTGTTTAAGCATAGCTAGTTGATCCTGTAAGTCTTCAGGAATATTCAGATCTTCCTTGCTCACTTTCTGTGGCAGGGCATGTTCTACTTTAGCCAACTCTCCAGCCATTTCCTGCTGTGATTCAGCAACACTGGCCACATATTTCTCCACCTGGGTTTGCTTATCTGACAGTTCTCCAATTTGCCTGAGACATTCTACCATTTCCTGAGAGGGGTACTCTGCAGCAGGCAACAATTCTTGACCATTTACCTGCAAAGGTGAGGTTTTAAGAGATCAAGGACACATGAGCAACACATAAATGTATGGGTACAGCTGTAGTTACAAAATGGAAACACTCTATAAAAAGCAGCACTCCATGGTCATTGTAGAAGAAAATAAGAAAAAAGGAAATTAGTCCAAGCAGTTCAAATTTCTCCTAAGTTACCATTTTTAATCTTAAGCACCATAGCATTTATTTCCCTGAAGTGAAAGGTTTGAACCAAGGAGTCATTTCAAAAGTATGTTGAGTTTGATCGTCTGGGTGAACGTAGTCCTGAATAGGGCTGTTGTTGTTGACAATGACTGACGTTTTGACAACCTGTGCGGTAGTCATCTTCAGAGTCAAAGTGAGTTGTATCACGTCAGTTGATGGTATACTCTAGTTATTGATCTGATTGGTCAATTACATCCTGATGTTATTGGTCGTCTGTCAGTTAAGCAGGATGTTATTGGCTATGAAGACTTGTAATCAGTAATTGGTGCGTTTCGATCTGTCTATTGTCACAGTTAAACAGTCGTCTATTGTTAGTCAAATTGTCAGTTCTCCAGTCATTCTCTCATAGTTAGTTTTGCTTAATCTCGTCAATAAGTTGTTTGTACGGTGCTGGTAACTGTTGGCTATGATTCAGTGGTGTTTGTTCTAAAGTAAGTCATTGATAGTAGTCTGTAGAATACGTAATACATGATGCAGAGTCAATTTGATGTTTCGTCTGTTAATGGTGTTCAGCAACGTGATTGTTGACGTCACCATTCCTCGTCGCTCGTTTGTGTTCGGCCAGTCGCGTGCTAAGGTTTTCGTCAATATCTTAGTTCATTAAGATATTGACACAATGAAAGAAATGACTAATACAGCACTCTGACTGGAAACAGGAGCCCATCAAATGGAGCCTCCATCTCCAATACAAGCCCTTGGAGTCAACCCTTTCCCGAGTAGATTTATAATTAGAACGGTTCCCAGGGGAGACTTTGCGCGCCGACGGTGGGAAGAGCCAATCACCACGACCTAATGACACTGCTATTGTACTTCATCAAACAGCCGGAAATTCGGTGTTGACAGGCCAAACATAAATCATAAGCTAGTGAAACATGACTTTAGTGTTTTCATCCCTCAAAGATTTTCTTCCTTTTCTTTCTAGCGGGTAGATTATACTGTGGAGGGTTTTAAACTCTGACTATGTTAATCTTAATTTTGGTTGCTTGTCTCAAATTAAGAGGCCATGAAGCTGGTCTGTTACATGTGTCATGATTAACTACTACCTGCAGTCTGTAGTTCTGACAGGACTCGTTTTCTTTAGCCAATTTTTTTTTAGCGTTAAGGTTCTTATTTCAGCTAAATGACTCAATATTAAGTCTTTTTTTTCTGAAATGCGTTTATCTGAATAAATACTTGTAGTCCTTGTGGTTGTTTTGCTTGTCAGCTGGTGTCAGTAGTATGATGATTCCCTCTCGCAAAAAAGTGATCTACAGTTGCGAATTCGAAGGAAAGAATTGGCCTAAACTTCTACATTAATTGCTGAGAATTGTCCTGTTAGTCAGTCATAATTCCACTTTGGCGCAGATACAATCCATTTTGTTTTTCTTGAGATAAGAGGGTCTTTGGACTGGAGCGCGAGGTCACAAATCTCTCCGTTAGGAAATTACTTTTGAGTTAGCTTCACGGTCGAGCAACTGTTGTCTTCTGTTCAACTTTTCAAGTGCCAGTTTTATCAGGCAATTCTCACAGTAATACAAGCCAGTTGTAAAGGAAGACTGCAATTTCTCAAATTTCGGAACTGAAGCATTCCTCCTTAGTTGTTACTTAGGTCATCGCTTTTGCATGCGGTGCTTAGCTGGCGAAATCCACTCCACACGGTGATGGCAAAAATCAAATGATCCTGGCACTTTTTTGGCGCTGATCATCGAAAAGTTCCAAATTGTCCACAGGACGCTTAATCGTCGACTCTTTTCAAGGTGCATGGTTAAATGTGGGATGTATGACGGCAAAAAAGAAAATACACTCGCAAAGATAACCTTTCCGTGATCCTCAGTTCGCTGCCTTTGTCCCATCGCTTCATGCTCAGTCAGCGGGTAATTCATTAACTTTTATTTCATGATACCCAGATCCCAGCGGCTGTAAAATTGTAAAAAATGGATGTATAGTAAAAAAGGAAAATGGTCGAAGGACGGGCTTCTGAGTTCGACTTCATCCAACTTCATTTTTTTCACGGTGACATACAAGACTCCCGGAAATATGACACTTTTCGCAGGAAAAAAGCCGTTCTATTTATAAATCTACTCGGGAAAGGGTTGACTCAAGAAATTAATGGAGATGGAGGCTCCATTTGATGGGCTCCTGCTGGAAACTAACCCCTTCCTTAGATGAACGACAATGGAATTATTGCTGTAAAATCCTGATACACCTACTCGAGCAGGGCTGGCCGAGCATTTGACAAGAAGTGTACAAATGAGAGGAGTGGCTGGACTCCCAAAGGCCAATATGGGGGTGGGGAGGGGTCAATTCCCTCCCACACCTTCCCTGGCTTGGCACTAACCACTTAGTGTTCCTGTCATTGGATCTATACCTGGCAACTTTTTCTGAGTCAAACATGTGAGATTTTCACTTTGTCACTGGCAGGAATTTCCAAAAATCATCCCAGTGTCAATTTCGAACATTTCCGATGATTTTTCAGAGACTTCTGAACATTGCTGAAATTGTCCAAAGATGTTCCAATGAACTTTGAGCACTTTATCCAGAGCTATTTCAAAGATGAAACATGTTGTGCTACAGTTAAGTTAGGACACAAAGTCAACATTAAGCGCCTTTTGGAATATTTTCAGAAAAATTGAATTGAATTTGGCATGCATACAGATCTAAGTACTCGTCTTTATCAATGACATCATTACTGTACCACAAACAACTTTCCTTAACATATAGTTATGTCTGTAAAGGAAACACCCCCCAAAGATAAGAGGGATTAGAGAAAGGAGTAGGGAATGACTGAACCTTAACCACTCTATTAACAGTCTGAATCATGAGTAAAACACTCTGCAATTTCAAGCATGTCAAAAACTAGTCATCTTCACTTTTCAGTGCTCTTATATACATGTAATTTACAGTCTGACAATGGCAACAACTAATCAGCGTATAGCTAGGGGGGTCTTGGGATGTCTGTGACCCCCCCTCTCCTGTGAGAGGCATTCCTTTCTTTCTGAAAAAAGGCCTAAGCCATTTCCACACTACAATCCTGAAATTCACTGTCTTTAAAGGATGACATTTGATTTATAAATAAAAAATAAAATAAATAAAATTTGATTTATATAGATGTTACCACTATTGTCTATGCAGCTATTTTGTATGCTTGTCCCTCTCCCAAGCTCATTTGCCACCCCCTCCCCCCCAAAAAAAACAAAAAAGAAAAATTACTTATAGTAAAACACAGAATGGATGTTGACATGACAATCTGGTTAAGTACCATGGGGCAAGACATGGTGCATGATGCCCCTTTGAAAATCCTAGCTAGGCTCTCAACTAATGAATAATTTAATTTCTGAATAATCAATCCAATTCATTAATTATTAGTTTATGGGGGGTATGTTTAGCTGGGCAAAATCGTAATTATGCTTAAACATAAGCTCACGGACCTGTGTACTTCTTGTAAAGGCAGTCTTAGGATGTTCTGGCGCTGGTATTGGTGTCTGAAGTGTTGGTGGCAGAGGAGCAGATTGTGGCCGACCATCTGACTCTGTATCATCAACTTCTTCTTCAATTTCATTATTATTATGATCAGGGTCCTTTACTGGTGTCTCCTCTGGATACAGAGAGACTGCACCAGTTGCTACTCTATTTTCCCTCTCAAGGTCTGTTTTCTTAACATTCAAAGCTTCTTCCAGTGCAGGCCATTTCACATACACTGACAACTCATCCTTTGTTACAAATCTACTACCCAGTTCTTTCTCTATCGAATTTATTCGTAACATGGCATCTCCTTCAATGAAAGCTCCAGTGGATGGCTTCTGTCCCAGATTACCATCCACTGACTTTGTTTGACCAAGAATGCTCTCTTTGAGATTCTTCAATTCATTCGCAACATCTTCCACATCACTTTTCAGGCTAGTTATCGTCTTTCCATTAGTCCCAAGAAACTCATTCAAAATAGTCATTACTCTGTCAATAGCCTCTTCTGTAGCCTGAAGTCGCTTGTTAAATTTCATAAACTGCCACAACCCAGAAAGTGTAGTTTGAGTGACAGCTTCATCTTGATTTAAATGTTTTGATTGTTGTGCCTGCTCAATAATAAACTGATTGGAAGGTGGGTTGTCAAGAATCTTCAATCTCTCCTCTAGTTCGTGAACTTTTTGCTCAAGGTTTTCTTGCCTTTTCTGTAAACTGATAAAAAATGTAACAAAGGTTTAAGACAAAAAAGTGAAGAAGTCATTATACATAAGCAGGGATTTAGAGGGGGGCTAGGGGAGGGGTAGCCTGAGAAAACAGCCGACATTTGGCAACGCTGCCTCTGGTTTCCCTGCCAAATGATGCCTGAGAAATGAGTACAGAAATTCCATATTGATCACGTGTCACTACCCAGATCTGGGTAGTGCTTCTGACTGGTTGAATCAAATTTCCCATGCAGCACAACCAATCAGAAGTACTACCCAGATTTGGGTAGTGACGCGTCATCAGTATGGAATTTCTGCACTTGTTTCTCAGACGTCATTTGGCGGGGAAACCAGTGGTAGCATCACCAAATGTTAGGTTTTGGACAGATGCTTACAGAGTTCTTTAACCAATAAAATAATAGCATCGTATTGAGCTCTGAAATTTCTGAATCTGCCCTGATACAGGTTGGTAGCAGAGGAGTGGCCCGAGGTGAATTTTCAAATGTTTGCTTTCTTGCTGCATACTCGTATATCCATCATATTTGCCAGTTCGGTTTTTTTTGTTTTTTAAGCTTTAGAACAATAAAAACTTCTAAAGGGTAGATAGTTGCAAATGACTCTCCCCTTGTTAAACAGATTAAAGTAAATTACTAAAAAGCATGAACTGTGTGAGTGAGGTTTAATTTTCCATTCTATCAATTCAACATGATGTCTACATTTCACCTGCTTTGCCATTTATTCTTAGTCTGCAGTCTCCATTTTATTATCAGGATCCCATCCCTAACATTTTTCAGGCCACCCACCCCCAAGCTTCGCGTGTTTCTGCGATACACGTATTTCTAATATGTTCAGCTGGTCTGTGGTTCACAGTCTACATTCTACACTGACCTTTTTTTCTGAGGGTATGTATGGAAGGCATGTGATGACAATGCATTTAGCAGTACACCTTGATTGTGTTTACTTTTCCTTTAAATAAATAAAATAACTAATATATTTTTTAAAACTCATCATCACGTCCTCATAACCTTCGCGCAGACGAAATTAAAGTTTAGTTATCGTCTACACGCAGGCTACGTCTTCAATGCCCACAGCAAAAAAATGCCAATATCTTTTCTATTAATGATCAATTCTGCCAAAAAAATAAAACCTTACATTTTAAAAACCTCATTTTTTTTACCTCTGAGAGGATTGAAACAATTTGACACAGTACTTTGAAAAAAGAGAAATATGGGCAAACAGAGATGAGACGACTCCACAAACAAAGACAAGACTTATAAAGCTATAATTTGCAAGTACAGTGTATCTTCTCATTCCTGGGGCGTTAAGCGGATTATTTTTAGACAGACAACGTCGAAGTCCGCCCAGTAAATTACTCTGTATTGAAAAGAAACTTTGACAGTCTATGAAAAACTACGAGGGCAGGTGAATTTAACTGCGCGGCAGACGCATCAATATCGGGTTTTAAATTTCAATATTCTTGCGTTTCCACAGTGACGGAGGCTGTGAATGACAACACTAGCAAATCTTGCGTTTTCGTTTTTTCTTGCTCAATAACTTAACTGGAGATAAAATTTCGATTGAAATAACAAGACAAATTTAAAATAAATTTGAGTGATGCATTTCAAAGAGCATTTCATGGTGTTTAAATAATGATAGGTCCCTTACATTTTAAGCTAGCCCTGAGGCAAAACAAAGAGAACAGGATCGAGGTATCTTCAGGTAATTGTGGACAATCAATAAAACATACAATTAGTCGAATCCGTAAAAGAATATAATGTAATTTCTTGCAATTGCGAACTAGAAAACCTCTATTTGACATAAAGAGTAAGGGGGACAATAAGCCACGTTCTTTAAGAAGCCTTCAGAAACAGCAAAGTCGGCGAGTACTTAAATAATTCATGACAATAGCCACCTACAATTTGTCAAAAGCACACTTCTCCACATAATTAACACTGGCCGGCAATGGAGAAAAACGAGCATGTTTCGTAGCTAGGACATTCGTTGTGAAAAGCATGATTCTTTGGACAAAAGAACAGTGAAAAACTTATGAAGTGTGAAAAGCATTAAAGAACTAACTGTTGTTACTCGCTTAGCTTTGCAACAGCATATCATATCAACAACACTTTAACAGCTTAGATTATTTGCATATTCGAACAAGTGATGTTTAACAAAATTTGTCACAAACAAAAAGATTAACCTAACCTGCTGCCGTTGCTTCTTTCAGACTCGGAGAGAGCTGTCCCCAGCTCCGAAGATTTGTCAGGTCGCTTTGAACGAACTTCTCCTTTGCTTGCCTCATCTTCCGCTTCCGACTGCTCAGTTTTGGTACTTTTAACATTTGCTTCGTTTGTAGGAGCAGCAAGTTTGGTATTGATCTCTCCGCTGAGCGCATCGTAGCTCAAACCTATGTGGTTCAAAATGGCGTGTAGAAGCGTGTGAAGGTGGTTGAAGTTCACAACACCCGCGTCTGGCGAACGCAGCGCCAAATCCACCAGACGATGCAACTCTATTTCGGCACCCATTTTGCAATACTTCACATCTTTTCTTTGTATTTCATAGGATCCGGTCTTTCTCATAAATATTTATGCAAACACTTGTCCATGCAGATGCAGCAGAGGAAATGAACAAGATTACTTCCCAGGAGGGGTCGTAAGGGGGAAGTTTGCTACATACAAAAAGCGCGCGGGCACACAAAGCATTGCGTGACGCCGGGAGAGAAAGCTACAAGTAGGGTTCTGGCTTTACAATCTCTTTTTTTACTAAAGCACAACTTTGAGGGTCTTCCAGGGGGTTTTGGACAACAAGCAAACATGGCCATTTACTTTTAGGGAACGTGAAGGGATATCTTACATGACTTTTAGGGAAAAAGGTAACTGTTGAGTTATAATGGAGAACAAGGGAACATTGATTTCCAAAAAGTTACAAGTAATAAAAATTACTAAAGAATATCCAAAATATATAAAAAGAAAAACATAAAAGTTACAAGTAAAAATCGTCCAAGGCTTTCCTAAGTAACACTTTAGAATTAATGTTTCCTAAATTTAATGGCAGTGAATTGAGGCACCTAAAAATAAAAACTACGGCGCGCAAAATCCAGTTTCACCTTAGGCAGCTTTGTTACTTCCCATTGTTTTTTATGGTGAAATCGTTGAAAAGAGTTTAAACGGGAAACATGCAGTTCCATTCTTAGGAGGCAGTCAAATACAAAACAGCATGCAATGCTTTAATTTCTGTGAAAGGTTTGAACCCAGGAGTCATTTCAAAAGGTTGACTTTCATCGTCCGGGTGAACGTAGTCCTGAATAGGACTGTTGTTGTTGACAGTGACTGACGTTTCCACAACCTGTGCGGTAGTCATCTTCAGAGTCAAAGTGAGTTGTATCACGTCAGTAGATGGTATTATACTCTGGTTATTGACCTGATTGGTCAATTATGTCGCGATGTTATTGGCCGTCTGTCAGTTAAGCCATGATGTTATTTATTGGCTATGAAGACTCGTAATCAGTGATTGGTGCGTTTCGATCCGTCTATTGTCACAGTTAAACAGTCGTCTATTGGTAGTCAAATAGTCAGTTCTCCAGCTGGCAGTTGTTCTCTCCTAGTTAGTTTTGCTTGATCTCGTCAATAAGTCGTTTGTACGGCGCTGGTAACTGTTGGCTACGATTCAGTGGCGTTTGTTCTAAGTTAGTAAACCAGCTTTCTAAAGTAAGACGTTGATAGTAGTCTGTAGAGTACGTTATACATGTCGCAGAGTCCCAGTCAATTTGATGTTTCGTCTTTAAATGGTGCTCAGCAATGTGATTGTTGACGTCACCATTCCTGGTCGCGCGTTTGTGTTCGGTCAGTCGCGTGCTTAGGTTTCTGCCGGTTTCACTAATGTAAGAAGCCTGGCAGTCGCAGCATTTGATCTTGTATACTGCTCCCTGTCTGTCCTCCAGTTTGTCTTTATCCTTGACATTAGTAAGCAGTCGCCGTAAAGTGGTTATCGGTTTGTGCGCAACACGTATATTGTAAGGTTGTAATATACGTGCAATAGTTTCAGAGGTGCCTCTGATGCACGGTATAGTCGCCGTCGTAACAGGGCCAGAGTTGGTCTGAGAGAATCAGTGTTACTGTGAGTGTTCCGTCTAAGAAAGTCCGTGTTGTAATTGTTCTTACTAAAAACGTTGTTAAGATAATCAGTCTCGTCTTGTAGGCTGTCAGGTGAGTCGCAAACTAGTTGCGCTCGTCTCGTCAGAGTCCGGATGGTAGTAGCCTTGTGAGAGGTCGGGTTGTACGAAGACTGGTCTAGTAATCGGTCGGTATGTGTCGGTTTTCTGTAAATAGTCGTTTTTAGTTTGTTGTTGTCGCGAGAGTGACCAAGCAGTCTAGAAAAGGTATCTTACCATTTTCTTCGGGACAATCATATATTTTGTTCTTCGTAGAAGAACTGGAGAAAATAAGCTAAAATATGGTTAAAAATAAGCGACGGGCATCACACAACTCCTGCACTTATTAGTTGTATTGGAAGTTGTATGACGGAAGGCTTCTTAAAGATTTCTATTAGATGCCCAATTTCATACCGGGCGGGGGCCTGGCACTACCGGATTTTCCCGGACTTTTTAAAAAGTCCAGTTTCAAAATGGCGGTTAGTTGGAGTAAAAGGGTAAACGCTTGTTTCCATATCTCAAACCGCCCTTGGAGAGAAGGGCCTGGGAATGAAATCCGATCACGCATATCGACAGTTTAAGCCGAACTGCCGAACTGCCGATATTCTTAGACCGTTTGTTTTACATGCCAGCTCTATGGTCTAATACCTCAGATTGATTCTTTTTTTCTTGGAATGTTAAATATAAAACTGTTTAAGTATTTCAAGTTTGTAGCACCTCAGCCCCCTCTTATAGGCACTAGGAGCCAATGGGCTCGGCTAGAGAACAGCGCTGATTAATTAAAATATTTGTGTTTCATTTTAATTTGGACCTGTTTGACCCCAGGGGTAATCCAGATTTCAGATGATGGGGATAATTGAATAGGGGCTATCACCAACAATCATCATAATAATAATCATATACCTTAACTGGTTTGGTGTCATTTAAAATGTTGTTTAACTCAAATGAATGATTTTATACACTTAATTACTTTGTGCATTGTTCAAATCACCATTGTAAATTGTGATTTATAGTTTAAATTAATTTAAGGTTATAATTAATATAGATATTGTTATTCAATATATTCTGTCAAATTTACTCCACAAAATATGCAAATTAGTGTTATTTTCTGCTATACAAAATGAGCTGTTTTATTTAGTTTGATGTAAAACAGGTCTTCCTGCTATCATACAAATTATAACATCATTATTGTTTTTTTTTTGTGTGTGAAGGCCTCTTTGTGTTAAATAAATTACCCAACCAGCAAAAGGCAACAGTATACAGGTAGTATACACATGTTTTTGACGTTAACAAGCTTGGGTGTTATGAGTACCATCACTTGAATGTAAATGTATTACCATTTTATTTATGAAGCAAAGCAAGAAAGTTTACCTTTAAAAGGTCCGGCCTGCATCCATGGATGATCACGATCTTCAACTACCTTCAGATTAAACGATTTCAACTTGAAAGTTTCAGTAAAATACAACAGGATTTTCGTGTTAGATCAGAGGTACACGGTCAAATCTCGTACCAAGCCCCTTTCAAGTTTTAGTTTATGCGCGCACGCTAGGAACTACAAGACTTCTTCTGCTACACTTTTCATATTTGTCTTCGTTTCAACTTCGTCTGATCCTAGTTCGGTTTATGACAGTTCGACGACCGATCTTTCACTCGTGAATCCAACGTTCCCTTTTGTTGGGCACAAGGTTATGATTCCACAAACGATTTCATAACAGCAGCGAATCGCCTGGTGATGATTCCAGACACTCACGATTTCATACGTTATGATTCCACGAATGATTTTGACTTTGCTGAAAAAATCATCAGTTATGATTTAGCAGAACTTCAGTCATCATCACATATGATTCCGGGACAATTTGATTCGCTTGACAAAATCAGCGGGCAATTCTCCCGATGATTCTCAAGCCTGTAAAAATCATATATGCTAATTCATGTGCCGTTTAAAATTCGTCTTTTGAATTGCATCGAACGATTCCACAAGACAATTTCCTGTGTTCCAATACTTCCAAGTAGCGAATGTCTCCGATTAGATCTTTCTTTTCTCAAAATTTTTAATCGAGGTTCTTTATAGCAGTAAACAACTGTTCTTAGCTTTAGAATATTAACTTTCTGGAGTAATCTGGCCCTTAATATCGTTTCAACTGCACGCATTGACCTTCGTTTTACCTTCCATTTTGGAAGCCATTTTCAATCCGGAATTTAGAAAGTCCGGAAAAATCCGGTAGTGCCAGGCTCCCGCGCGGTATGAAATTAGGCAATAAGGCATTATTTCCCCATTAGTATTGTCTTCAGCTAGGTAATAAAGCCGGGTCGTATTGTGTAAGTAACAAAAGGCAGACTGAGTTTTTTTACCTGCGCATTTGTTTCTCTGTTGTGAGGCTGTTTTCCTGTCGACAAATTTTACCTCACTGAGGTACTTTCTTAAAATAGTGGCAGGGCAGGCTCTTTCCAACAGGTGAAAATGAAAATGAAATACTAGAGAAATTGTGGGGAACAGTGAGGATGATTTTGGGGGATCAAGGGAACATAGAGCACAATTTCTGGGAACATGGGAACTCAGTAAAAGTGAATTTGGGGGAACACCTTAATTTATTTTTGAGGAACAAGGGAACAACTGTAAAGTTTTAAAGGGAACAAGGGAACATGCACCCCTCTCCCCCCCCGGGAGGTCCTCAATATTTACTATTGAAGTACGTTAAAAATTTAAAAGGAAAAAAAACAGCATTTCGTCAATCACCTATACGTTCCATTTACTTTTAGGTTGTGATGGAAAGAGCTCCATAACTGAGCTGCCCTTTTCCAGAACGATTCCGTTCTTGGGCATGTGTCTTTTCATTATTTAAGGTATTTCTGTGAAGTGAGACTTGTTGGCTTTTCCAGCGCTCAGAAATTGTGGTATTTTTTTGTGAATAATGCCTTAACATATTATGATATAACAAGAACGCTCTTAGTAGCGTGAGTCTCGCTTGCTTGGAGATGAGTTTTAATGTCAAAGGCGCCGGTGCCGTTATACTACTTTCTCGTTTGGAATACAAAACGAGTGTTGTATGTCATAATGTATATACTCAAAAAGTAAAAATTGCAAGGAGAGACAGGCTGCACATCTTAGCCTCAAACCGGTGTGAAACCTTTGAAAACCTTCTACATATTGATATTGCTCCATTGAGGAGTACTCTTTCAGGGATTCTACACTCGAAAAATTGAACGATGATTTTTATCGGTATCAGGGGCCCATGACTCTGTCAGTATAAATAAACATAGCTTCTTTGTACCGGACCAAGATACGGCTCGGTACAGTATATGTTCAGCAGAGGAAAAAAGTGTAAGTTGAACATAACCTTGTACAACACACAGTTAATTCAGTTCGTGCGTATTCCTGCTGAACTTGTTGTCCGTTTTATAAGATATCAATATCGCATGAAAGTAATGACATTTTCCATAGCTGCTTAGTATCTACT